TGCCACGACTTCGGCAACGGCATCGCCAAAGTGCTGCGCCTGCCACGATTTCGCAACGGCATCGCCAAAGTGCTGCGCCTGCCACGATTTCGCACACCCCCCGCCGCGCGCGCGACAACATCCTGTCCCTCTAGACAGCTGCCGAATGCGACCCCTGCCACACAAACACACACCCAGATGCACAGAATGCTGCGCCTGCCACGACTTCGGCAACGGCATCGCCAAAGTGCTGCGCCTGCCACGATTTCGCAACGGCATCGCCAAAGTGCTGCGCCTGCCACGATTTCGCACACCCCCCGCCGCGCGCGCGACAACATCCTGTCCCTCTAGACAGCTGCCGAATGCGACCCCTGCCACACAAACACACACCCAGATGCACAGAATGCTGCGCCTGCCACGACTTCGGCAACGGCATCGCCAAAGTGCTGCGCCTGCCACGATTTCGCAACGGCATCGCCAAAGTGCTGCGCCTGCCACGATTTCGCACGCCCCCCGCCGCGCGCGCGACAACATCCTGTCCCTCTAGACAGCTGCCGAATGCGACCCCTGCCACACAAACACACACCCAGATGCACAGAATGCTGCGCCTGCCACGACTTCGGCAACGGCATCGCCAAAGTGCTGCGCCTGCCACGATTTCGCAACGGCATCGCCAAAGTGCTGCGCCTGCCACGATTTCGCACGCCCCCCGCCGCGCGCGCGACAACATCCTGTCCCTCTAGACAGCTGCCGAATGCGACCCCTGCCACACAAACACACACCCAGATGCACAGAATGCTGCGCCTGCCACGACTTCGGCAACGGCATCGCCAAAGTGCTGCGCCTGCCACGATTTCGCAACGGCATCGCCAAAGTGCTGCGCCTGCCACGATTTCGCACGCCCCCCGCCGCGCGCGCGACAACATCCTGTCCCTCTAGACAGCTGCCGAATGCGACCCCTGCCACACAAACACACACCCAGATGCACAGAATGCTGCGCCTGCCACGACTTCGGCAACGGCATCGCCAAAGTGCTGCGCCTGCCACGATTTCGCAACGGCATCGCCAAAGTGCTGCGCCTGCCACGATTTCGCCCCCCGCCGCGCGCGCGACAACATCCTGTCCCTCTAGACAGCTGCCGAATGCGACCCCTGCCACACAAACACACACCCAGATGCACAGAATGCTGCGCCTGCCACGACTTCGGCAACGGCATCGCCAAAGTGCTGCGCCTGCCACGATTTCGCAACGGCATCGCCAAAGTGCTGCGCCTGCCACGATTTCGCACGCCCCCCGCCGCGCGCGCGACAACATCCTGTCCCTCTAGACAGCTGCCGAATGCGACCCCTGCCACACAAACACACACCCAGATGCACAGAATGCTGCGCCTGCCACGACTTCGGCAACGGCATCGCCAAAGTGCTGCGCCTGCCACGATTTCGCAACGGCATCGCCAAAGTGCTGCGCCTGCCACGATTTCGCACGCCCCCCGCCGCGCGCGCGACAACATCCTGTCCCTCTAGACAGCTGCCGAATGCGACCCCTGCCACACAAACACACACCCAGATGCACAGAATGCTGCGCCTGCCACGACTTCGGCAACGGCATCGCCAAAGTGCTGCGCCTGCCACGATTTCGCAACGGCATCGCCAAAGTGCTGCGCCTGCCACGATTTCGCACGCCCCCCGCCGCGCGCGCGACAACATCCTGTCCCTCTAGACAGCTGCCGTGAGTCAGCGAGTGTGAGTGAGTGAGTGAGTGAGTGAGTGAGTGAGTGAGTGAGTGAATGAGAGTGAGTGAGTGAGTGAGTGAGTGAGTGAGTGAGTGAGTGAGTGAGTGAGTGAGTGAGTGAGTGAGTGAGTGAGTGAGTGAGTGAGTGAGTGAGTGAGTGAGTGAGTGAGTGAGTGAGTGAGTGAGTGAGTGAGTGTGAGTGAGTGAGTGAGTGAGTGAGTGAGTGAGTGAGTGAGTGAGTGAGTGAGTGAGTGAGTGAGTGAGTGAGTGAGTGAGTGAGTGAGTGAGTGAGTGAGTGAGTGAGTGAGTGAGTGAGTGAGTGAGTGAGTGAGTGAGTGAGTGAGTGAGTGAGAGTGAGTGAGTGAGTGAGTGAGTGAGTGAGTGAGTGAGTGAGTGAGTGAGTGAGTGAGTGAGTGAGTGAGACGGAGACGAGCGGGAGGAGGAGGAGGAGGAGACGCGGCGCGCGGACGACGAGCGGAAAAAGTAAGAACCCCACACAAAGATGTGGGGAATAAATTGCACAAAACTCAGCGCAAAAGCCGTAGGATGTTGGAAAACTACTTGGCCGGCGCTGAAAAAGTGCTTGCTCAAGGGGGCCATGTTGCCTTCGAGTGGCCGAAGAACCGTGCCGATTGGTCGATACCGAAACTCATTAAGTTTATCAAAAGACATAACCTGTTTGAGGCGACCTGTGAATTTGGGTTGGTAGATTCCGAAGAATTGCCACATCGCAAACCGTGGCGAGCGGTGACTTCTTCCTGGAGGCTTGCCAAGAACCTAAACGCGCACAAGTGCAAATATCCACATGGTTTTGTTCATAGCCAAGTTGCTGGTCTCGAGAGCACAGTGTTTGCAGGCGTGCATCACTTGATAGATAGGCGAGATTGGCAGAAGCATGCGGGTTATCAAGCAGCCATTGACAAGGAGGCCAACGGTTTGATAGCGAACCAAACTTGGTCCTACGATGAAGTGGTTCCAAGAGATGTTTTTGCTTGCCAGAAAGGAACCCCTTAACGTTGGCAGGCTCATGACCATTCTGTCAAACAAGCACTTTGAAACCCCGGAACTTAGACGGCTGAAAGCCAGAATTGTTTTTCGAGATGATGACATTCGGGATGAATCTAATAACCTAGCGGTCTTACAGGATCTCAAGGTTAGCCCCACAGGTTTGACGAGGATAAATGCAAGTTTGTCTTATGGATCTTGCGAAGGGGCTGTTTCTCAAATGTCAGACGTTGCGCAGGCCTACACCCAAAGTGATTTGCTCACTAAAGTTCCTACATGGGTGGAATTGCCGATGGAACTAACGCCCAAAAAATTCCAACATATAAAACGGCCTTGTGTCAGGCTACGCCGTAGCTTGCATTGGCATCCAGAAGGCATTTCACTGGGATGCTAAATTCAAGCAAGTGATGGCATCATTAGGAGGTCAACACCTTGACAATATCTTTCAGTCTTCGTATTGGTTTAAAAAGAAACGCCTTTTAATGACCTTGTATGTCGACGACATGATTTTGTCGGGCCCTTGCAAGGAAGTAGAGCGTCTCTGGAAAAAATGAGGAACACCTTGAAATAGATCCGCCAACCGCTGTGGATCGCATTCTCGGTCGTAAGCATGTTTATGATCACTCTGAAGGAAACACCACAGTCTTTCATGATGTGGTAGATTTCTCTGTCGATCGTCTTGCAATCTATATGTGGAGCTGTCAAAGAGAACTCTCAAAGAAGCTTCCACTCCTTCTGTGCCAGACGGAGCAACTGTGAGCACAGATTGGGACGAGAAGGGTGCTCTAAGTGCATGCGCCAGTCGGGCGCTCATGAAAATCTTGTGGCGTGCCAGGTTGGCCAGGCCGGGCCTCATCAAACCAATCAACGACCTAACAAGGAAAGTGACATGTTGGAGCTTGCAGACGACAAAACGTTGTTCAAACTCATGTGCTACTTGCATCCGACTCCACATCTCTCATTAAAGAGTTGGAACGGTGACCCTTTCGAGTCGCTAAGTCTAAACTTGTACACTGATACGGACCATGCGTCAGAGACTGAGCATTCCAAGTCGACGAGCGGGATGGTTCTGGTCCTCCAACACGATCTGACAACTGAAGCAGAAGTTATCTCTTTGGACGCCGGCTTATTCGGTGAAGCGTTGTCTGTTCAAGAGTTGTGCGAAATGCTAATAAGCCGATTGATCTGATTTGTCACCAAGCCAATTCAGCGGTCATAGCAATCGCCCACTCAGGGTATTCGCCGAAGCTCAGGCACTTGTCAAAAACTCACAAGATAAACTTAGGTTCCTTGTATGAAGTTTTGCAAGATGATCATGCCCAATTGAGGCACATAGCTACCAAGCAACTAGCGAATATCTTCACCAGCGAAATGGCCGGCTGCCTTGAACATGCTGCATATGCAGCACCTTCCTTCCCAGCACGCAGGAAGGGGGAGTTGAAGAATACTGAACAGTATGCATGTTTGACAGGGTGCGAGGCCAATGATGCACCATCACCATCACTTACAAGACATGTCCAGTCAGTAGCCTTCATGTGGCATACTTAGCTGAGAAGGGATTCTGCGGGTGTAGTTTGCCAGGAGGAATCGTCATGTGTAGGGTAGACGTTGTCTGTCCACCGTTTCACATACTCATGTACTCGTGGTTAAGCAAAGCTTTCATCCATGAGGTTCATTCCTTTTGCAACCATGACAGTTTGCATGTGTCATGTGTTTCAATTCTCCAAAAGGTACCAATCCTCCAAACGCACCTGCGTTTGGCTCAAGCTGCCCAAAGGAGCACGTCCGCCATTTGCTTGGCGACGCGCGGTATTCTTTACCTCTTGGTAGCGACGTGACTTGGATCGAGTTTGGGATTGCTTGAACCAATTACAACGAGCTGTTCAATTCTTGATTCAACTGTCTCACCCTGAACCACGCAATGTTTGGCGGATGCCTGATGATCGATTGTGATCGTTCAAACATGGTGCTTGTGTCAAGCTCAAGGCAAGCAGACACATGGCTTTGGATGATTCCTTGCCATCAGGTTTTGACTACCTCAGCTTGGCTTTTGCGCATGGGCAATGGGCATAGTCACATGCAGCGTGTTAGCTTTATTTCTGGCATGAACTGATCACTGTTTCATCATGCCACAAAGGGGAGGGGCAGGGCTCGTTGCCACGCATTCCGCATAATATGTGTTGGCACATGTCAAAACTGCTACGTTGTCCAACCTAGTGCAGTGCGAACTGGGTGTAGAATATTTCAGATGATGCCATGCGGGCGGAGCATCCCACGGGTGCGACATGAGTCAACCCGTCAATGACGATGATGCAGACGATGACGAGGCCCTCCAAATTTGCTTGTCATTCATTCCACGCTTCGCAATGGATTGCGTTGCTTGACCTTGGTAGGAGCCTTGCATGCTGGACGAGTTCGGATGGGATCCGATGGTGGATGAATACCTGGACACGTTCTGCATGCTTTCTTCGCTGGGTACAATTCATTCAAACACCTTGCTTGGAACAACTGAGCAAAATTGTGTGGCTTCTAGATTCTACACTCTTCCTGCACCACATCAGGAGGCATTGGTGGACGAGGCTGGCTGTGAGTTGAAATGTTTGAGTGGAGCTTATCGCAGCAAGCCTGTGCTCTGCACAATGATAAAAGCGTTGAGGCCAGCAGTCAGGCTGAGATTGACTGGGCCTGGGTGTCGCATCAGTTCCTCGCCACTAGGCTGCATTGCAGCTGAAGGCGTTTTTGCATGACTGGTGCCGTTGCTTATACTGCCGTGGCGGCTGCAGCTGCCGAGATTGTTTTTCCAGCTTTAAGCAGTTTTGTTGCAACTGCTTGTGCCTCAACGCCAAAAGCTGGCTGAATTGCGAACACAGCTTAGCAAGTATTCAACCCTTACGTACATGTTGGAACCATTGGACACACACACACCTACTTCAGCAAGCAAGTAACAAGTGAGACTTGCTCCCTGAAAGGCAAAGCATGAAGTGCCAGACTGCCAGAGTTTCCCCATGAAGTTTGAGCCAAAACCAACAAGACTGCAGGCATTTGAGCTACGCAAGAGCAAACTTACACTCGAAGTGACTCATGGATAGATAAACTATAGGAGCAAACCTATCAAACCAACAGTTCCCTTCGCTTAGGACACCTTGGAGCCAACGCCTGAGCAGGCCTGATCTCAAATTGCTATGAGTTGCGCGACTGGGGTTTCTTGCTCGGCGCAGTGCATGTTTGTATTTAGCCCAGATCGAAGCAGCTTTGCAGCGATTCTGTCCCGACAGCTTGCAGCAGAGATGGCCGGCTGCTTACTATGCACCCTTATGCGTTTTCACAGTTGCTGTGGTGGCAGTAATGTGATGCGCGCTGGCTTCACAAGGCTGTATCTCCGGAGTACACAGACGCAGGTCCCAAGCCGACGTTGTGTTGCACATCGGGCGTCCATGTTGATTGGTTCACGAGAGGTTCCCGCAGCGCCAAACGAGCCTCCGCGAGGTGCAACTGAAGTGCATGTTAGTTTAGCTAGCGAGATTTCCTTTGTACATTTGCGCAGACCGTGTCCTGGAAGCAATGCAGAATTTCCTATTTGGACTTCCACAGCCGCGCATGTTATGTTCTCAGCTAACGGGTACTGTACTCTAGAAGACACATCAGCCAAAAGTGCATGAATACGCCCAAGGAATCCAGAGTTGCGAGAATCACAAGCAGAAGCGCAATCTGACAGCCATGGGGCTGGTCAGTCCAAGATCGAGGTTTGCTGCTTACCTTGCAACCTATTGTACGGAGTCCGACGGTTACGTGTTGCGCAGCTGTTTGTATTTATGCAAATGTGTGTGTGTGTGTGTGTTTGTGTTTGTGTTTGTGTTTGTGTTTGTGTTTGTGTTTGTGTCTGTGTCTGTGTCTGTGTCTGTGTCTGTGTCTGTGTCTGTGTCTGTGTCTGTGTCTGTGTCTGTGTCTGTGTCTGTGTCTGTGTCTGTGTCTGTGTCTGTGTCTGTGTCTGTGTCTGTGTCTGTGTCTGTGTCTGTGTCTGTGTCTGTGTCTGTGTCTGTGTCTGTGTCTGTGTCTGTGTTTGTCTGTGTTTCTGTGTTTCTGTGTTTCTGTGTTTCTGTTTCTGTTTCTGTTTCTGTTTCTGTGTCTGTGTCTGTGTCTGTGTCTGTTTGTGTTTGTGTTTGTGTTTGTGTTTGTGTTTGCGTTTGTGTTTGTGTTTGTGTTTGTGTTTGTGTTTGTGTGTGCGCGTGCGTGTGTGTGGGTGTGTGTGCGTGTGTCGCTTTAACGCGGACTTGACATTGTGATACAGACGGAGCCGCACTGCCGTTGAGCAGTGCTATTGGGCTTACAAATGCGGAAGATCAGAGATATGGAACAGACGAATGGCGTATATAGCATTCCTCTCAAACAGCAAACTTCTGCGGCTACATGAGCGCTCTAGTTTTTCTCGCCGGCATTGGACATGCTATTTATTTGTTTCTATCCTTGCATCTTTCTCTTCTCTTTCGCCAAGATGGCCATCTTTTCAGCGCACCATTTGAGCGTCTTGCAAGCTACCGTCAGTACCTGGAGGGACGATAAGGGCCACAACAAGAAATGAACGGTTCTTGTCATTGCCTATCGTTTATCCGTTCCTGGTCCCCTACAGCTACTTGTGCAGAAAGTCCCACTGCTATTGTGACTCTACTACCATGCTCTTCTTTACCCCACATCTGACCAGAGGTCGAAGCGGCCCACATTTTAGGGGACGCGATTGGTCCTTGCTCAAAGTTGCCGCGCAGTACTTCGTACTTGGCCCCTTTCCTCCCCCTTGCTCCCCCCGTTGCAGTTGCCCCTCGGGGATTTGGGGGCGTGGTGATGTCCGCCAACATTGTCGGGCGTCTCAGACACATCAATGGTACACAACACTGTTGCAGCCTCCTCCAAACCTCTTCTTGGGAGGGAAGGGCTGGGCATGGTCCGCAGCCAGTTTGGGGTGCCGCGGCCATTCTCAGTTTGCCCACAATATGCAAAACGCAAAACATGAGCGATGTCATTGATGTGTCCGACAAGCCGAACAATGTAGAGCTAAGTTGACACGGCTCGATTGGCAGGGTTCTGATGCTCCCGACGCCGGATGCCAATTGCAACATGCCGCAGTTGACGATCCAACTGACGCAGGCTCACGCATAGGGTTGAGCCTGCGTTCAGTTACTGCGCAGACCTCCAATGTGTCTACAGTATGTTGAGCTAATTGCGCAGCTGCTGCGAAAGCCTTGCTAGGCTGCGACGGCATGCACTGCATTGAAAGCTCCAACAGTCCCAGCCTTACTATTACAGGCCACTGCGCTTTGCCGCACAGCAGTGTTCTAAGATCCCAGATGTGTGATGCATCAGGACTCGCTGTTTTAATAGAAGTCCCACCCAGACGTTGAGTCAGTCACGACATAGCCGGCACAGGACTCAGAATCCCTGTGCTTGTAGGCAAAGCTGGGGCTATCGGCACAGATGCTCTGCGCAGATGCCTAGAGGCAACTTCCACTGTGTCATAGGCATTTTATACTTTATCCGTAATATATGCGACTATGCGACGATGCGACATGCGGTTCCAGGAGCTCCGGTGGCATGGCGAGGCATTGCGACGATGTGCTGCAGGACGGCCAAAGCACTTCCGCATTTGGTGCACCCCAGCTGCTTAGGAGGTGATGCCCAGGCCCTTTGCGCCGAGGCAACCATCAGACGAAAGGAGCCAGCACGTCACGTATCGTCACACTACATAAACGTTTCCTTGTCTCGCTCAACCTTGTGTTCTTGAGATGCACTTTTAGTGTAAGGAGCTGCTTTGGAGCCTGGGCAGAGAGCCGACAAAAGTTTTGCGCTCACAGATCTTGCTCTTTGCTATCACCCACTTGTTAGATTTCGCAAAGCTTGGGGCCGCTTTTGACAACGCTGTTCGCAATCAACAAGGTGACATCAGACTTTAAGCAATGTCATGGGCCGTTGCCACTCCATGGCTCACTTCGTGGTGTAGATTTGGGTCGTACGCAGCCTTGATGCAAAGCAGGCTGAAGATAATTACTACACCCTGCCACGTCCAACCACTCCAAAGACCCCAAGTCAGACTGGCGTTGTGGAGGGGACACCCACAGCACTCAAAGCTAGGGCCAATCGATTGGGTCCGATCAGCTTGAAGCCGCCATACACTGCCAAAGCTGCCCGACCTGGTGGAGATGGCCATGCGCCTAACTTGACAAGACGGAGATGTGTGCATTGCCGTGCAAGGTCACTGAAGTCAAAGAAAGTCTGACACCCGACTTGCAGATTCTGGTGAAATGCTGTCAGTCTGTGACTTCAAGTCCTTTCCATTTGGCTTTGCTCATTGTTTTGGCTACGATCACATGCTGCCTTTTGTGCTCAGGGCAGGTGATGCGGCTCGCCACTCACTAAGGCATTGGCTCCTTGACTCGCCGATCAGGATCTGTGCCAGGCCTTCTCGAGAGTTCACTTGGCTGGCACTTGTGGCCCTTGTGAAAAGGGCGTTGTTCGAAAACCGCAGGTCCGGATGTTTTGGTCTCGCGGCTCGAGTGCCTGTCCAGGAACTGCAAGACGAGCGCCGAGTGATGATGTGATGAGCATTGTAAGACGGCACTTGGAGGCGTGCGTGTGATTTGTTTGCTGGCTTTGCGTTCGCAAATGTGGCAGGCCACCGAGGAAAAGCTGAGCGCATTGCCCTTAGCCATCCCAGCTGCAACGCTCATAGAAGTTTGTCTTGCTTGTTCGCTGTGCTGCCGCATGCGGTTGATTGGCCTCGTTGAAGTTGAGTGAGCGCATGACTTAACGATTTGCAAAGTGTTGTGATGCTTGTGTTGCATGCTCCGCAGTTTTCATGTCATGTTGCTGCAAAGGTGCAGATTGGCAAGGCAGGCGACTCATACGAAAACTGCCCATGGCTATGGGGTTGATTCGGCTGTGAGGCACCAATGCTCCTGGGTGATATGTTTGTATGATATGATGTTGCCAAAATGCGAGTTCAAGTGACGCACGGCATTCGATATTTGCCTGGCTGGGTGGACACCATGCCAGCACAAACCTAGGAACCCACGGTGCCTAGCATGAGGTGCAGCAGCAAAGCGACAAGCTACGAGAAACTGCATTTGCTAGAGTGGATGCCAAGCTGCCTGTCAGCAAGTAAAAGTTTGCAAAGTGTGTTGCTTTGAATCAACTCCGGTGATACAGTGGCACACGCATCGATGCGCCAAGTTTGCTGCTAGGCTTTGTGGGTTCGAATCTGCGCAGCCAAAGTTCGACCGACGTCTTGCAGAGCTTTCCGGAAATTATCAAGGCAGGTTGGACCGTTGAAACACTGCCAACCGTTAACATTTGAAGGGCAGCGCCAGGGACACCTTACCACAGATTGCATGACAGTGACCTGCTAGACTTGGCGTTGAATTCGAATTGCATGGGCATCCAGATCCAGATGCAGTTGTCCATGGCCGAAACATAGCACGAGCGATGTGGAGCAAGTCAACATGTCATCCTAAAAGAGGCAGAAGCCATGTGAGCTTTGCGCCAATCACATCCAGGCCTGTCTGATGAAGTCCAGTCACAGCTGCGCGCTTAACGTGCCAGGTTGGGTAGTGATTTGACGCCGGTTGTCGAAGCTCAGGATTCGCCGCGTTGACCAGCTGGACACGAGGCAGGCTCCTTTTTGACCAGCCCGGGAACGATACAGGGGCCTGCGTTCCACTCAACGGCCAGCTTGCCTTAACAGAGATGTGTCCAAGTCAGCGCCGAAGAAATGCTCAATCTTAGGCCGTTATTCGGGCTGTGTCAGGTTGCTTTGCGTTAGACCAGCTTGGCCTGCCACAGGCTGAGGACCTGGAGGCAAGAACTGGAGGAGATGTTTGCAGCCCAGTGCAGGTGAAAGGGTAGGGCGAATAGGGGAATCATTTGAGCACATTGAGTGGAATGCTGAAAATCGAGGATTCGTGCCAAGTTCTCTGAACTGGAGTTGCTTGTCTGCATGCTTCAACGCACTGAGAGGGATGCGACAGCTGCGACAGCCTTTGCCTTCCCAATATTATTGTAGTGGCCCAAGCGGGTAGTGACACGATAGTGTATGGTAACATGATAGCTGTGTTACGATATTGTTAGAACACTTGGAGTTCGAATAGAAATATCCCAATTAATGCTCCCGAGTCGAACCAATATTCAGAAGTATATTGTCTCAGTTGTTGCACAGATAGAGCTGGCTTTGGGTTGCACACTGCTGTTTAGGGATTGCTTAATGAGCGGGGCAGTGGCTGCCACAGAACTGCCAACCAGACTGCATACGGCACACCATAGAAAACTTGTCAGCTCTTATTTTCTCGCGTGAAGCGTAAAGACTGGCGCATGCGTGCATGATGAGCAGGACATGACAACACTGAAATTTAGATACACTATGGCACAAGCTGACGTGCCATCACTAAGACGAGAGGACACTGACACTTGCAAACGGATTCTGCGGGATCAGATGTGAAGTTGTCGGATCGCGTTACCCGGGCGTTCGCCCAGCCAAAGGCAAGTTTGTGGCGTTCCCCCTTGCTCGCATTGCGCGTTTTTGTGTTGGGTCAGCTAGCCGACTGGAAAGGGCAGAAGGGCTTGGCCGTGGAGCAAAGGCGGAGCAACCAGCAAATCATATCAACATCTCGTGTGTCGCGCCCTGGCGGCAAAAAGACGAGACGCGCGCTGGCTGGTATGTGCGCGGTATGGGCGGGCGTGTTTGCATGGGTGCAGTGTGAGGTCTGCATGCAGCGAGGATAACATCAACCGCCTCGGCCTTACTGATTGCGTCAAGCAAACTTGCTTCACTTGCACGCCAAAGGCGCTGTTCTCTCCTTGTGAAAGCCACAAGTGATGAACTGGGTAGCTTTCCCGGAGCGCTCAGGCATTTCTTCCGAAACTGATGTTGCTTGCGAACTGATTGCATTCTGCAAGGTTGGACCAGGCGGCTCATTCGGCTGGAGGGAGTAGTTGATGAGCGCATGGTCTAGCTCCAAGATGTTTGCATTGTGAGTCATGTATTGATAGCAGAACAGCACCTACTATATACAAGGCCGCAATTGAAATTGAACGACCCAAAGAAGCATTGAACTGTTTGGGCTCAGTTAAGAGTTGGCGGCTAGTTGTGTTCAGTGACCAACGCTGCTTCTAAGGCAGCAGCAGATGATGTCAATCAGAGTTTACTGAACTTACATGTCCCTGACCCAGCGTCGCCCCTGTGCGTATTGAGTTGTACTGCGCACGCTTTCCTAAAGCAAGTGTTGACAGGAGTGCTGGGCTGCGCATTGTTGCACTGACACGGGCATTCTTAGGCCCGATTATCGCAGATCGAGGAGGGCCAGGATGAAGATGCTGGGCTTTGCAGTATTCAACGCTGGTCTTTGTTTTGATTTGTGACTTTCCTGTGAAGGAGGTTATTTTATCGCCTGTCCAGCCAATCTCGCGTGAGGCTAATGGCGTTAAGTCTGCTTTTGGCCGTATCGCGCAAGCAGTTTCAGCCGCAGGCTGATGGCGGAGCAATGGCCGTGCTTGAGCCAATCCCTCAAGCGCCGACCCACCATGGCAACATGGCATCGCGAAGTGCTCTGCAGGTCCCGGCTCGTTGATGCAGACTCAAAGCTGCAGACTCTTGTTTGCTGTAATGCGAGTTACAATGTGCGGCTTGCCCAACGGAGACACCAAGGCGCTGGCTCGATGAGCGCAGAGCTCAATAGCAAGATTTGCCATTGCGTGTGAGTCGGTTTTGCCCTTGACAAAGGTCTCACGACCTACACGCACGAATGGAAGCGCAAGAAGAACGTAGATCTGGCGCTTTTTTTGCTTTGGCGCTACATGCTTGGACTGGCGCAGAGTGCAAGTTCATCAGATCTTTGTTGCCAGGCTTGAAATCGCTGAGGACATTGATAGATACACGGGATACTCGGCTGTACCAGTATGCTTGACCACGCAACCTGCAGCATCCAAGCCCAATGGTAATAGTGCTTGGAGCGAGGGCCTTCCAAAGACCTAAAGTTACCCCTTGGAACCCAAAGCGTTCGACAAGTTGCCACCCGAGGCCCAAAAAAGTCCAGAAGCCCAGCATGCCTGCGCCTACAGCTTCTTACGAACGAAAGGCCATACCACGCAATCAGAGATAGGCCGCTGAACGATCATCTCGCCTTTCGTTTTGACAATCATCTGTCCAGGCAATCTTTGTGTCATTCATCAGAGCCAGTACTTTCGCAAATTCTGCGCGACGTGTCCACATTCAATGCCACTGCAATAGACAAGCTGCGGTGAGTCAAGCTGCGTCCGCGGCAAATGTGCCCCTCTGCGCTGCACGCAGAAGCCAGGAAAATTAATGGTTCAACTCTACGCTCCAAGCGTGCAATCTCAGAATGCTTCCGCAAATGCACCTAGCATCAGTTGAGTTCTCAGAGCCAGTGAAGCGACTGTCAAATGAAATGTGTCAACCAAACTACTAGTACCCGCTCATGTTGAATTTGTGCAAAGAAGTGCTCCCCAAAATTTGCGCATTCACGCTGCGGCCATATCATTGCTTGGCAAGGAAGACTGCGTTCGTGCGCTGAGTGACCGACTTGAGCGTTTCTGGCTTAGATGGCGCATGGCACTTGCGTTGGCAGCTGTGTGGCCGCATGGGCTTGCAGTGTTCATTGCAAGGTACTGACTGCGACGCACGGCTCAGGGAGCGGCGGCCTCACCTGTTGCGCTTGGTTGCTTGGCGCTCCAAGCGTGCACCAAGGCTGCACGACAGAGTCCAAGAAACGGAAAAATGCTGCTCTGTCCCAAGATTCAACAACTCTCAGCGGTCTTGCAGTTCAGATGTTTGCTGAATTTCATACCCGTCAAGTCAGACGAAGATTTCCTAGGTCACGAGTTGGGACTACACAAGGAGAGCTTTTGCTGCAAAACAAGCTAATATGCAGCGCAAGTCGTGCCCCTCACCTGGTTGCTGGTGATGACGAGCTCAATCTATTTCACCCCGCCAGCGGCAGCGTGTGTTCCTGCTGGAATTGAGATTGGGAAAACAAGGGCCGATAATTTAAGATAGCAGGCTTCGGAGCAAAGTTTGCAATGCTAAGACACATAATTCTCGTGATAGAACCTTGCTGCCACTAGTGCTTGCATCAGGAGAACAAATGCAGTGACAGACTTGCAGAACTCGAGAAGCGCTTTGAGGCCTGCCTGCAAAACAGAAGGTTGCGGGGACAGAGTGTAATTAAGCCAGGACGTCACAGAGAGGAACTTCACTAGCGTGGGCGATGTGCTTCAGCAGCTGAAACAGGCGCCAAACACACAGGAGGAGAGTTCCGCGAGCCAGTCTTCGGTCATGTTTAATGCGCAGTGGCGCAGAGTGTTATGCGACATTACATCAACTTTGTTTGCCACATTGTTTTACCAGATCTTCGAAGCGTCTGCAGTGCTCAGCGCCAGCCCGCTCGTTTGCATAATGATGTTGCGGCGCGCAGGTTGCGCCCAGAGTGATGGAGCACGAGGCTGGAATATCTTAGGGGCGACACTTGCACAAGGCGGTTTGGCCATTTGGCGGGTGTTATGCAATAAATTGGGCAGTGATGTGCAACCCTCAGTCCGGCAGCGCTGTTGGCAATCGCGCCACAGCCTTTGGGTAAGCAAAGCCCCAACGAGCCAGGGGAGGCAATTTGGTCACGCAGAGAGCCGTTTCGGTGATATTATAATCTGAGATGGGGTCGAACAAAAGCTCCATTTAGTGTGGCGGTTGGACAACTATAGCGGACTGCCAAAAAATGACTTTAGCTTACAGAAGGGAACGACATGGGGGCTGCGTTTTTGCAGGTACTAAAAAAACACTGAAAAGCAAAGCCCAAAACAATCAACATCAAAGAGCCTCGTGCTAAATTTTACAAAAACTCGAGAACAAAAACAAGATTGCAGACCCCAAGGGGGGTGGCCTCGAGGGGTTAGGGTCTGCAATCTTGTTTTGGTTTTCTCGAGGTTTTTTGAGGTTTCAGCCTAAAGTGCAAAGAACCTAAAAAAAATGCAGGAGCTATCTCCATTGACTTCTGCGTAAAGCTAAGGTGGCTTGGCTCCAACTAGAGCACAATCTCATGTCCCGAAGATGTCTCTGTTCAGACAAAGCGATGCGGGGCTTGGAGCTGTCGCAGGACATATGGTCCAAACTTCTACGTCGCAGATGGCCAGAAGGTGAACACCATGCACAAGGACGATGTGGACGATGTCCTCTTTGTCAACAACAAGATCGGCTTCACGCTCGAATACTTGAAGTGCCACTCTGCTTTGGAGCTTCGCTCTGCAGTGTCCAGTTGAGCGGCCCACTACTGTTATGAAGAGACCTTCGAAACCGAATACGCTCGTTTCAGGCAGGCCCACGCGGATGCAGTCCTTTACTGGATGACATTGTCTGAGCTGAGTGACTTGGACCTCCACAAGAGCATCGTCATCGGGGAGCCACTGTCTGATAGCACATTGAAGGCATACTCGACATTCCTGCGCAAGAAGGTCTTTCCACCCAAGCGCAAGTCCAATGTGACGGAGGTGGTGGCAGATGGGCACGCAAAGGTTCACATCAAGTGCTTTGGCGGTGACACGCCTGCAGGGAAGCATGCTGGCAAACCGCGCAAGAGCGGCAAGAGCAAACCTTACGGTCATGCATGGTTCGTGATTGTGAATCCTCAAGACCTCCGTGTGCTATCTGTCAGCCCCATGGAAAAGGCGGAGGGTAACGAGATCGTGGCAAAGAAATCCCGCCCTGTCTGCCTGACTTTGGGCTTCATCAGAAACTTGCGAGCGTGCCAGTCGCCCGAGGCAGCTTTCATCCAGAGCTGCGACAACCATTCTCTGCGCGCCAGCTTTCTCACGTGGAAGATCTGCATGGACAGCCTGTGTCTCTCAACAGGATGCTGCGTCACACTGCATTGTCTGCAAATTTGCTTCACTTCTTCCGGGTCCTGATATCGCAGCGCCGGCACTCTCAATGTAAACTTGCAAGCCTTGGCAACTTGCTGCCTATCTTCAAGAATGTCGACACCTTTGTTCTTGATCGCTGCTGTGGGTTCATGCCAACTGCAAAGAAGGAGAAGAAGTTCAAGCAGATCAAGTACTGGGCAGTGGACAAGCGGCACGCGCAGAAGCGCGACAAGACCTGCCCGTGTAACCCCCTCGACTTGGGCTTCGCTTGCGGGATGTCAACACCTTGTCTGCGGAACAGGTCTTCTCGCGGTTTCGTCAGTATGCCCGGACCCTGAATGAGGCTCGTCCTACCACCCACGCTTTCAAGGTTATGTACTTCTGCCGCGTTCGCAACAAGCGCATTGATGAGAATAATGACTTGCGCTACTTGCCTGGGTTTGTCCATAGCAACCGCAAGCGAGCTTCGGCGTCGAAAGAGTGCGGAGTGCTGAAGCGCCCCTCTCGTGCGTGACTCAAGTCTTTTCACTTCTAAATAACTTCTAAACTTTTGGACATGCCACTGAGCATGGGGCTCACTTGGCCAATACTATGACGGCGGATGTCGAGAATCCTCATGACACTCTTGATGTCATTGATGCATCTTGACACATAAATTTAAATATTCTTCGGCATCGAGATTTCAAAGTGTGCTCAGGAACTCTCCATCTACTTCTGCTGCTTGTCTGCAACTCAACATAGTCACTTCAGAAGTCTGCTTTCTGCTTTCATGCAACCGCGATGTCTGTATAACCTGAAAAACTCTACTTGAAACTATATACACGAGGCACTTTACCTGCGAAAACACAGCCCCCATGGCGTTCCAGCCTCTTAGCTTAACACGTTTGGCTTTGTTTGCCAACAGCACAGGCTTGCATTCTCATTGCAGGTGCAACGCATGCACGCAGGAGAAACTCGATTTGGAAAAGGAACTTTTATTTGACCTCGTTGGCTCATGTCCATGCGACCAGCAATAGCAATGAGCAGAGATAGGGGAGCAACTCGTTTTCTTCTCTGTGTCTCACGTGCAGCATGCTACGGATTTGGTTAAGAAGCTGTGTGTAATGGACGTGGGTGCTACTGACGCAATTAGGCCCTGCTGCGCTGATGCTTCTTGTGGCTTCTTTTGCTTGCATTGTTTCCTTTGGAAAGGCCCCCACGGGGGCTTGAGTATCTTGGCTTGCCTCTGTATGCGAGTACTCTGCTCGTCGAAAAGCCGCCACAAGTGATGGATGGGCGTGCTCGAGGTGCAAGTAAGCTCTTTCTTGCTGACTTTTGAGAAAGGACCCTCCAAGGGTGCTACTGATGCAAGTATATAAGCTCTTTCATGCTGATGTTTCTTGTTTGTTTTGCTTGCGCCCATCACTTCTGAGGACCAGTGCAAAAACAGGGAAGTTGCAAAACAGCACGCACACACCCAGCTAGCGAAGAGAACTTAAACAAAGAGCGGTAAAACAAGGGCCCCTACTCAACTCCCGGGGGCCCACTACTAATGCAATCTAGCTCTCTCCCGCTGATGCTTCTTGCTTTTCTTTTGTTTGCATTTGTTCCTCTGGAAGGCCCCCGCAGGACTTGAGTAGGGACCGTTGGTCTGCCTTTGTTTGAGGATGCGTGACGTTCTTGTTTGCAACTCGTCCTTTTTTGTTGGCTCACTCCTATGTTTGTTTCTCTTGTTTCCCTCTGAGTAGGGGCCTTTGGTTTCCCTCCGTTCGTGAATAGTCTGGGGATGCCTCTAAGTATCTAATTCTGGTGGCTCTGGCGATGCTGAGCTGGTGATGCTGGGGATGCACAGACGATGGACGCCAACTGTGTCCCGCATTCCTCGAAAGGATTTAATCGACCAGCGGTGCAAAGCCACCCCCCTCCCCCGCCCCTGTGAAGTCCGGATTCATCCCGGCAGGAGGGGTAAGGGGAGGGCGACAGGCAAGGAGGAAGACATGTAATTGAGAGTTCAAGTCGAAACACGCTATTTGAAGTCGGCGGATGCCTTTCAAGATGTGTCGCGTGGTTGTTACTCAGCCCCTCCCCTAACGCGATCTGTGCAAGCTATCCCTGTGGCCGAGCAGTGTTGGCTTGATGTTTGGGCGGCACGTCAAGCAGCAGGTAGGAGCTTCAGGATCATGGGATCCTGGTTCTGCACCTGGTTCTCCTTGGAGCTAGCTGGCGCTCCCAAATGATTGAGAGCCAAATTTGTACTGAAAAACTGCAATTGTTAAGCTGGGGCTGCTGAAGCGGCGTTCTTCTCGCGCTGCACTTGTACAGAGAATACGACTGGAGCTGCCAAGCGACGGTAAAGCTGGAGAACCCATACCTCATTCCTACCTTGCCATAAGCTTCCGCCCTCTCAGCGGAATGATGATTGGGTTGCTCTGTCAACGCGACATGGAGGTGGACCTTTTGGGCCGTAGCGCTGTGAAGCGCCGCGCAGGTGTTGCTGTTGCCGGGCGTAATTATATCCTCTGTGTTGCTTTGCGTTAAGAGTGTGAATATACAACCCACCGGGAATCCAGTCGCAACTATGACGCGCCATCCAGTTGACAGGCAATGCTACAAGACCTGACTGCTTACTTTGCTGGTAGCTCCTTGGAAGAGATGGACGCCCACTTCTGTGTGAGAAAGATCAGACTACGAGACGCTGGCTGTTTGGTTCTGAGGTGAGATGGCCAACTCTTGATGCGTTTTCGCTCGCAGCACTTCTTTGTGGACAGCCAAAGATCAGAAGCTCGTCCTGCGCGGCAGAATTCATGACTGCTTAGGCGATCATGGCCCAAATTCATATCTACCTGTGAAGCTTTGTGTGCGTGGAGTGCTGAAGTCTCTACTCACAGGCTCAGCTGGGAGTGCTTAGAAGATGCTGTGTCAATGCGTATCCCGACATTCATTTGGCGAGAAAGCGTGCAGGGACCTGTGATATGACCGAGCTTCAACACGGCCTCAGGTGCTGTTGGGCACAGACATGCCATAAAGTGCCCAAACCTGTTGAAGGCGCCGAAGCAACTGGTTGGCAATTGCGCGAGAAATTCCGCGACTTGCTCCAAGATTTCCTAAGGCAAGTAGCATGTGTTTGGAGCATCGCCGAGCGCTGTCAAGTGCTGCGCTTGGTGGTGCTCCACGTATGTGTGGCACGCGTGCTCTTTGTTTGGTTGGTTGGCTGTAGTGGTTGTAGTTGGTTCGTTCGTTTGTTGCTGACTGGCTGGCTGGCTGGTTGGTTGGTTGGTTGGTTGGGCTTGTCTGTTTAGTTACAGGGGCTGCTCCTATTTACAGCAGACTACAGTGAAGGCCATGCAAAAACACTTTTTGGGGAACATACACCCCCAAATCGATGACATATAGGTTTAGTGGCTTAGATCGAGAACACACAATGAGTCCAAACGGCAATGGGCGCAGCGTTGGAGTGCAAGGTGAGAACCGCTCATTCAACCAAGTAGCAAATAGCTGCTGTAGTTGTTTTTTTGTTAGCTTGCTTGCTTGCTTGCTTGATTTGTTTGTGTGTTGGATTGGTTGGTTGGTTGCTTGCTTGGTTGGTTGGTTGGTTGCCTGTCTTGCTTGCTTGCTTGTTTGTTTGTTTGTTTGTGTGTTTGCTTGTTTGCTTGATTGTTCATTTGTTCGTGTGCGCGCGCGCTCATGTATGTGAATGTTTCTGTATTTGTTTGTTTTTTGTGTGGTGTTTGTAACATGTGTTTGCGTATGTGTGTTTTGAGTGTGCGTGCGTGCGTGCGTGCGTGCGTGCGTGCGTGCGTGCGCGCGCGCGCGGGTGGGTGGTGGGTGGGTGGGTGGGTGGGTGGGTGGGTGGGTGGGTGGGTGGGTGGGTGGGTGGGTGGGTGGGTGGGTGGGTGGGTGGGTGGGTGGGTGGGTGGGTGGGTGGGTGGGTGGGTGGGTGGGTGGGTGGGTGGGTGGGTGGGTGGGTGCGTGGGTGCGTGTGTGCGTGTGTGCGTGTGTGCGTGTGTGTGTTTGTGTGTTGAATCTCGCTGTGTGTTGAAGCCTCTGTGTGCGCACGTGGTTGTTTGCGCTTGTTTGCTTGCTCACTCGCTCGCTTGCTTGCCTGCTTGCTTGCTTTCTGGACTGGCTGGCTGGCTTGTTTGCTTGCTGTGCTTGATTTTGCTAAGACAGCCGCTGCGCGACACGGCTTAGCTGCCGAACAGGCTGTCGAGTGATCTTAAACGGTATACCCCTTTAGCTGACTACTCTGTAAGCCTGGCTTTGTTTCGTATTGGCACCAACGGATGTGTAAAGTTACAAAGACCTGTACCACTCGCTTCGCGATGCCAGAATCCAAGAGCAAGGTCTGTTTTGCCGGCATGAACCCTTGAGTCTGTGATTTCGCTGGTTGGAGTGATTGGTTGACTCATGTGAGGAGTTGTCAAAAATGCTTGTAAGGATGCTGACAAGCAAACGCAATTAAGTCATATCTGAGTATGTGTTTTTAGTTTGCTTTTCAAGGAGGCATGCACCAGGATTTCGTGAATCACACTGGTGGCGTTAGGAAAACCACTAGATGTGCGCCAGACTTTTTGCAGCTCCCATGATACCCATGACTGAATCCTCAAGAGTTGATGCAGCCGTCCGGTAGAAATTGTGGTTCAGAGTCAATCATGTTAAGATTCCCCGTCCAGTCTGCAGCTGCCAATTGGTGCAATTCAAGTGACTTGTACTGAAAAGTTACGATTGCCAAAGTGCATGTCGTGCAGTTAAGCAACTCACAAGCCACAAGCGGGCAAGGAATGACGGCTCGAGGTAGCAAAGCGGCGGTGTAGGCATCCATGTAGGCAAGGAAGACGCAAATGCGCGCGCGTAAGCGCCCCTTGCAGTCGCAGAGGCTTTGCGTAGGCACTCGCGTAGGCGTGTGTGCAGTGTATAGGCCCCGAGCAGCCAAAAAAGCAGCCCAGTTGAAGGAAGCAGTGGCATGAAGGCATGCGCAGGGCGAAATTCCTGAACTTCTGATCTTGCACTTGCCTGTTGCGTTTGTTGCCCGACAGGTTTTTTGCGCTAGAGACGCGCTAGTTTGGCGCTAGCAGAAGGCAGAAGGTGCACGAAACCGGGTGAGCAGGGACGGTATGGGTGGCCAACAGATGGGTTTGAAGATGCGTTTATGCCAAAACATGCTTTGCTGGCAGCAAGTAGGCAGCTGAAGAAGTACATCTCCTGCAGGACAGCAAATACTTCCAGCCCTCGGACCTTGGTGGAGTTAGCGAGTTAACTGCCATTTCTGAAGCTTTTGTGAAAGTGTGAAAGTGTTGCAGCCGCGCTAGTGTGATTCCCAGGAAAGGATTTCGTGGAGCTTTTTTTTCTGTGTTTTGATGACTTGCAACTTAACTTTTCATTTGCCGTTGGAGTCGCCACGCTCGGAATGCTGCGCGTTTCGGGCACAAGCGTTTTAAGCAAGTTTGATGAACGCCCATGTGTTATTTCTTGCCTTCGCGGATTTATTCTGGCATTCATTCATTCATGCATTCATTCATTCAGTTCTTCATGCATGTATGCATGCATGCATGCATGCATTCTTTCATTCATTCATTCATTCATTCATTCATTCATTCATTCATTCATTCATTCATTCAGCCATTAACGCCATTAATGCCATTAATGCCATGCATGCATGCATGCATTTATGCATTTATGCATTTATGCATTTATGCATTTATGCATTTATGCATTGATGGAGTTGAGCTGAGTTGGTTTGATTTGATTTGATTTGACTGGTTTGATTGACTTGATTGTTTCATTGACTCATTTAATAATGGTTTGCTTGCTTCATTGCTTGGTTGGTTGATTTCTTGATTGATCCGATGTGACTTTGATTTGATATAATGTTATTTGGTTTGATTATACATCGGTTTATTTTGATTTGATATTATTTTCTGAGTGAGTGAGTGAGTGAGTGAGTGAGTGAGGGAGGGAGGGAGGGAGGGAGCGAGGGAGCAAGGGAGCGAGGGAGCGAGGGAGCGAGGGAGCGAGGGAGCGAGGAAGCGAGGGAGCGAGGGAGCGAGGGAGCGAGGGAGCGAGGGAGCGAGGGAGCGAGAGAGCGAGGGAGCGAGGGAGCGAGGGAGCGAGGGAGCGAGGGAGCGAGGGAGTGAGGGAGCGAGGGAGCGAGGGAGCGAGGGAGCGAGGGAGCGAGGGAGCGAGGGAGCGAGGGAGCGAGGGAGCGAGGGAGCGAGGGAGCGAGGGAGCGAGCGAGCGAGTGAGTGAGTGAGTGAGTGAGTGTGCGAGTGACTAACTGACTGCTTGGTTTGGGGTTGATTGGCTGGTTGGGTGACCCCATTGGCACATGATTGATCCATGGCGCGCTCCGCAGAAGCCCAGACAATCGTGCTGACTGGCTCAAGACTGCGCAAGGAAGGCTAATGCTCAGTCATTGGTCGCACTTACTGATCTCACTTTACACCAGAAGGCCACAAGTGGGGCAATGGTATCGCGCGGCGAGAATTGCCTTGATTGGTCCTACTGAATCAAATTGGGATTATTGCTTCAAAATAGCAATGCGCCTTGCAGCCGTTACCAACGTGGGAACGGAATCGCAACAGAGCAAAGGGAGTGACAGCAGCGATCAGCAAAAGTGTGCTTGTGTGTTTGCGTCATGTTTGTTGCTTTGGTATTTGCTGACCTGAGGCGACCCAAAAGTTGCGAGTGACAGATCTTTCCCAAAACTGTCCGATGTCATCAGAATGGTTTGCCCATACTTCGCAATGTGCGGGCTGGTGCTGGCCGGAAGCGCCCAGCCATTGTCCAGGGCTCCATTTATGGAGTGCAAGGGCACTGACGCTTGGCGTCAAGAGTGTCGTTTTCACATTGCCCCAGGCTTAACCACCAGCGTGCGGCTCCAGCTTATTTGTAATCACTGCGTGCGCTTTTCTAAAGGGCCCTTTGCGATTGCAAGTGCTCCACATGGGCCACCCAACATAAGCTTAGGCACTGCTTTTGCGCACGCTCGCGATGCTTCCCCTCCCCTTTCCGATGACGCTTTGTGCTTGTGATGCCTGGCCAAAAGGTTGTGACTATGGTTTTTCTATGTTCTTGCGCTGAGTAGTTTCTGCTCTTGTGAATCTCGTGATTCCTTCCCCCGGCAAGCAGCGCGGAGATACCACACTGCTCTGCGCATGTTTGACATGATGACGCAATGGAAAGCAGTTCGCGCGAAGGAGGTCCTTGTTTTTTTCATCCGAGTCACACGTGTCCACGCGGCAGGCATCGAAAAAACACAACACTGCTCAACTTGGCACAGTGGAGGCGAAAGGGAAGTGTGGCCGTTGCTAGAGCTAGAGTTGAGGAAGTCATCAAAAGATCTACGTGGGAGAATGTCCACATCCTTGTCGACAAGTGGCCAGACATCGATCTGCCTCACAGCCGCGTCATTCGCAAGGCGGATGAGTTAGGCCTACACGCCGGCTTTCTTGCACAACCAACACACAAACAGACGCAGACCCAAGATAGACAACAGTGTTAAACAAAGGGCTGCATTTTCAATATGTAAGGAAGCTTGGTGGTTGATTATTCCGACAAACTTCTTTGGTTTTCCGTTTGTCCATTATGATTGCAGAATTGCCGGAAGGTCCTTTGGGCCATCACCCACAACCAGATGCTCGAGCAGCACGCAGAGGACTGTGGCTTTGCCTTGCTGGTCATTTTGCTGGTGGCATTGCGAGCCATTGACTATGATGCTTGGCAAGATCAGCCATGTTTGTTCGCCATTCGTTTTCAGGGCCCGATCAAGCAAGGTCTTTGCAGCAGGCGAGAAAGCGATGCATCAGATGTTGGAGTTTCGAAGTGCGAAGAAAAGCTGGGTGTGATTTGTCGAGCATTGCATTGCGTAAGGATGATGGCGCAGAAGGGGCGAGAAGCGCCTACCTTTACTTGACGCAGTCCTTGCTGCCAAAGCTGGAGCCACACTTTGAGGCTGCTGCTTTGGATGGCTGGAAGCCTGATCTGACAGATTTGAGGACACGCCAGCCCATGCCCTGACAGCATGCTTAGAGCCCCAGGCGGCAGTCATTTCAAGCCTGCAGCTTGGCTTGCGAGCGAAGCTGTGGGTGGCAACACGCTCCTGCGAGAGGTTCGTTTGACATATTCACCTCTTCCAGGTTTTAGAACATGATGGACATGGGAAGCAACAGAGGAATGAGAGATGACCCTCACTCTTCTCTCGTAATTTCCAAAGTAGATGCTGAGATTTTCGGCCTTTCACAAGCTTTTTGTTTGGAAGACATTTCTTTCGTGGACAAATTTCTTTGAGCGAGTCTTTTGTTCTGTGAGCAAGTGCTATGCCGACAGTTCTCTGACTCAAGTGCAAAGGAACGCAGGGGAGCATTCGCGAGGCTTTCGGGAAAAACCATGGACAATAGCTACTGGAGTTCCTGTCGAAGCCGAAGGTGTCCCCAAGGGTAATTACCGTGCGCCCTCAAAACAAAATATTTAAAATACATACCAAAAGAGGTCCCAGATCCTCCGGTTGAGAGATGGCCCTATGCACAAAACAATATTTCAGGAGCTGGCTTACTGCGCGCAAACAAAGCGCAGCGCTGCACTGAACTGCTTTGCAGGTGTCAAGACGGCGCCAACGTTCTTCGGCACTGTCACACTGCTTTAATAAGCAGCTTTCCTTCATCACCAGGGTGGCAAAAGCCTGCAGACAGGCTGAGTTGGGAGCTTATCACACGCAGAAAAGCCAGCTCAAACAGTGACGGGAAGCATAGCCCAACGGGAACCCTGCGCTCGACGTTTTCTATTTGGAACGCAGTTGGGCACGGCGCGACAAAGCCCCTACTACTACAGCGGGAGTGCCCCTTGATTGCTGCTAGAGTCGCTGTTTTTGTTGCTGCAGCTGCTCCTGCTGCTCGTACTACTGCTACTGCTACTACTGCTGCGAGCGGGTAGCTTGCGCTGATGGAGCTCGGCATAACACACTCCCTGCAGGGCAGACCATCCTTTGGTCAGGGGACGAAGGTTGAATCTTACACGTGGCGACTGCAAAAGCAAAAAGAGCGCGCGCACGCACTCAACGCGTGTCCACATCGCTGGGGTGAAAATAGTTTTCTCAAGAGCATCACAGCGTCATGCAATTCGCTCACTCGCGCGCTCTCGCCTTTCGAAAACAATGTCACGCTCACAACGCGTGAGTTTCGCGGGGGGGGGGGGGGCTCGCCTGCAAATCGCTCACTTCCGGCGTTGGGCGTCATGGCGCAGAGTTGCGTTCTAGTGGCGAAGCATATAATGATGGGCTGTGCAAGGGGGTTTTGATTTTTAACTCAATGGGAGCCAGAGGATAGCGACGAGAGGGTAAAAGCTGCAAAGCAACAAGAGCTTGCGCCGCAAACCCGGTGCTTGCGGCATTCCACTTCCGCTTCCTGCCTCATCAGAGCCTCCCAACACCCATTATCAGGCTCCCTCCCCCCTCATGTGACTCGTCACGCGTCCCTTGAATGTCGGCACTTGTTTGTTCCAACAGGTATCCTCGCCCAAGTCAGAGTTGCTCGCTGTTGCATTGAAGCGCAGGATCTACCCTTTCCTTATGGGTCTCAGACAGCATGACTGCCACGGAACCATGTTGAAGATCTATGTCTACAAGCTGCCGGAGCTCACACGCGGGGTACTGCATTGCCACCATGGCCAGTGGGGCATCGAGGCCGGGCGCCGGTGTCCAGGGGCTTGGCCACGGTATACAGTTTGCTTAAGAGATCTTAGCGACCATGGTGCATATGCTGCTTGTGAACTTTACACGATCATTGCCAATCTGATGATACGCAAATGTTTGACTCATGTTGGGTCATAGGAGTTGCTCACTCGCCACTCAGAGTCGATTTCTCAATAGTGCGTGTGTGTGTGTACGATTGTGTGTACGATTGTGTGTACGATTGTGTACGTCTTATGATGTGTCTTCAGGGCGTACTTGAGATGGGGCTGCATCTTCTACAGCTCGTTGCGTTCTTCCGATCCCAAACGCTCGCTGCCCACAGAGATGGCAGCGGAGACTTGACGCTACAAGCTCCTCTGGGCATCCCTGCGACTTAGCCAATGCTCGCTGCCTTGCCTCAGGCTTTGATCCCCCACTGGCTTCGACAAGGCTCTTGTCTGACTACGAATCATGAAGAGGCCGGAGTGGATCAAAGGTCGCAAGTTCTGAGTAAGAGTGACTTCCCGAACTCTGCTCCCCAGCATAAGCCTCACAGAACATTGAGCAACGGGCGCAGTTTGCTCAAGTTACTGGCACCTTCAAGCTGCAGGACCAAGCACCGTGACACCTTTGCCAGGCGCCACCCTAGCCCACACTGATTTGCCAGCGCCCGCGCAAATGCCCGGCCAGCACCCAGCCTTGCCGAGTGAAGATCGACCTTCCAAGCCGAAGGGCAGCCCTGAGTGGAACCAACACCCTATCACTCTGATCAGACCCAAATTTGCGTAGTGGGCGCCGTCATGCGCCATCTTCACCAGAAACGGGCGCTCTGTAGCGCGGCATGAGGACCGGCCAAACACATGAACGCTGATTGCCCTGCACACAGAATGGTTAGCGCCCGAATCAGCGCTGCAATCGGATCAACGTTTGCACCCTCGCCCCCTAGATATTAAACTGGAACCGCTTCTGGTTCTTGGGATCTTTTGAAAGTAAGAACCGCTGCAAGTGTCAGGAATCCGTGGGAAAGCGCGCAAGGCCGACTATTTCTTTGTGCCCTGGCACACCTGGTGTGACCGGATCGTGCACAAGATGAACCAATCTCGCCGGGATGCTAGCTATATTAGACAGTAAAGTTTGCTATGAATTGTGTAGTGGGCTGCGCTCACGCGAGAATGGAGACGCTTCATTGGCGCGGCGACAACACACATGCTTCGATCTCGGCATCTCGGCAGCTCAGGAGGTGTCAGCTGTGTATATTGATTTAATGAAGCGGAAGCAAGAGCTGCTACCTCACTGGACGAAGAATGAAGGTCATGATCACGTGCGCCTAGGCAAGCAATTGCGCAAGCCGCAAGCTGCAGATCATTCTTGAGCACTAGCACTAGAGCAACGGTTGCCACGTTTGGTTTTCTTACACGCCTGCTCAGACCTCGCATGGGTGTTTTGTGGAGGTGAGGCACCTTGCGTGGGCGTGCGTTCGGTTGTAGGGGTAAGGTGCGAAACTTGTGTTTTTCTCGTTTGGGTCCTGTTTTTGCGCGTGTGTTTTGCAACAGGTGTCTCTTTGCACCAGGGAAGCAATGAGCGAGTGCAGAATGAACATGCCACAGGCTTGAGAGTGTGGAGGACTTGAGTATTAATTCATATCAATTAATTTTTGGTCAGGGAGATGTTGACTGTCCTGCAGTTTTGCGAGGTTCATTTTTTCGGATCAGGGCATGAACTTTTTCCCAGACACCTGGCAGCATGCAAGCAAAGCTCATGCGATTCAAGCCTGGCCTTGCGCAGCTTGCGCCTATTCATGCACTCAATGGCGGTTTCATCTCAGGAGTGGCGCGACTACATTCCACACTCCATGTTTGTTGTCACAGAAGCCTTGACTCCCCGATGTGGGCCAAGCTGTTTTAACGCATGGAAGGACGGCGTGAAATGCAACAAGTGATGTTTGAACATGCCTGGGAGTGCTCGGGTGAATTGCAGAATAGAAGAGTTGCCTACCTGTGAGGACTTCACGGTTCCAGGTCATACGGCTTGGCACTGACGTACGGTTGTTCAAAAGTTCAAACGTGAGCCAGAGAGTTCTGAGTTTGATTGCGCGTGATCGTTTCAATTCAGAACACCAAGGACTATTTTAGGTATCGGCGTATGGCTATGTTCAATCTGCCAACTGATCAGCGGACGTTGCTCTTGAACTTCCACGGCCGTGCCCTAACGATTGGCAAGTCAAGATAGTTGCAGCTGGCCGTCAGGTCGCCATCCGGGCTTGAATGACCTTTACAAAAACAATTATGTGCGTGGCAACATTATCCGAGCGCCTCGCAACAAATTACAATTGTGGACAATTACATGTTTGTTCTTGCGCCATTCTGAGCCAAGTTTCCCAGGTGTTTGATGGTCTTGAAGGTGTCAGCGTTGGTGGTTTCACCGACGACTACTTTGAACGCAGGGCCCAAAGCTTGCATCACGAACAGGGTCGAGGAATCACGCTTGGGCGTGAGTTTCATTGCAGGCATGGGCGCGTCACACTTTTGCTTGGTGCCCATGGGAACATCGTGCCGCCCTGAGAGCCAACATCCGCGTCATTTGAAACGGCCACCCGCATCCGGTCTGCGATGTGTGTACAGTATGTGCTGTATGTACTGTATGTACTGTATGTAATGTATGCGCTGTATGCATGTATGCACTGTATGTACTGTATGTGGTGTATGGTTTGTACGCAATGTCTGATTTGTATGTGTTGCATGTAATGGAATTTAATGGGATGTAATGTAATGTAATGTAGTGGTGTGGTATGGTATGGCATAGTAGGGTATGGTGTGTATGTATGTCGTGTACCGTATGAATGTCATGTATTGTAATGTAGGTTATGTGATGTAATGTTATGTAATGGTATGTAATGTTATGTACTGGTGTGTGTATAATGCTACGTAATGTTATGTAGTGTTGTTGTATGGTATTGTATTGTATTTTATTGTATTGTATGTATGTATGTGTGTGTATGAATGAATGTAATGTAATGTGACGTGACGCGATGTGTATGTATGTACGTATGTATGTATGTATGGAATGGTATGGTATGGTATGGTATGGTAAAACAAATATATATGTATGTATTGTTATGTATGTATGTATGTATGTACGTGCGTAAGTACCTACGTACGTACGTATGTAATGTATGTAATGTATGTAATGTATGTATGTAATGTATGTAACGTATGTATGTAATGTATGTATGTAACGTATGTAACGTATGTATGTCATGTATGTAACGTATGTATGTAATGAATGTACATTACACACATTACATACATGCATGCATGCATGCATGCATACATACATTACATTACATTACATTACATACATACATACACTACAATACATTCGTACGTACTTACGTACGTACGTACATACACACATACATACATACACTACATACATGACAATGTAATGTAATGTAATGTAATGTAATGTAATGTAATGTAATGTAATGTATGTATGTATGTATGTTATGTATATAATAGAATGTAATGTAATGCAATGTATGTACTGTAATGTAATGTAATGTAATTGTAATATGTTTATGTATGTATGTATGTGCATTTATGTAATGTATGTAATGCAATGTAATGTATGTAATTTATGTAATGTATGCATGTATGTATGGGATGTAATGTAATGTATGTATGTATGTATGAAATTTATGTATGTATGTTATGTATGTAATGTAGTGTAGTGTAATGTAATGTATGTATGTAATGTAACGTACTATACTGTAATGTCATGTAATGTAATGATGTAATGATGTATGTATGTATGTATGTATGTATGTATGTATGTATGTATGTATGTATGTATGTATGTATGTATGTATGTATGTATGTATGTATGTATGTTATGTATGTATGTATGTTATGTATGTTATGTATGTTATGTATGTTATGTATGGTATGTATGGTATGTATGCTATGTGTGTTATGTTATGTTATTTTATGTTATGTCATGGTATGTTTGTATGTATGTATGTATGAATGTAGTTGTGTAATGTAATATACTATAATATAATGCAATGTATCTAATGTAATGTAGGTAGGTATGTATGAATGTATGCAATGTAAGTATGTATGTATGTATGTATGTAATGTAATGTAATGTAATGTAATGTAATGCAATGCAATGCAATGCAATGCAATGCAATGTATGTATGTATGTATGTATGTATGTATGTATGTATGTATGTATGTATGTATGTATGTATGTATTAATGTGTGTAATATATGTAATGTATGTAATCTAAGTAATGTATGAAATGTATTTAATGTAATGTAATGTAATTTAATGTAATGTAATCTAATGTGTGTATGTAATGTATGTATGTCTGTATGTCTGTATGTCTGTATGTGTTGTAAGGTAAGTAGTGTAATGTAGTGTAGTGTAGTGTAATGTAGTGTCATGTAAGTATGAATGCATGTATGTATGCATGCACGCATGCATGCATGTATGTATGTACGTATGCATGGACGTATGTCTGTAAATGTATGTATGTATATATGTATGTATGTATGTAATGTATGTATGTATGTAATGTATGTATGTATGTATGTAAGTATGTATGTATGTACGTATGTATGTATGTATTGCTGTGATTGGATTTGATGTGATGTGACTTGATGTATGCATGTATGTGTGCGAATTACTGTACTGCGCTGCGCTGCGCTGTTTGTATGTAGGTATGTGTATATGAATGTGTGTGTGTGTATGTGTGAGATTCGTGTTTGTGTGTGTGAGCATGTGCGTATGTGCTTATGTGTGTTTCTGTGTGATGTACACTGAGAGGTTCTGAGTGGCACTGAGCTGGCAATGCTGAATTATGTATGCAACTGATGCTTGCCATGGCGCGAGTCTCCAATCTCTGCGGCAGTTTGAGCCTTCCTTTGCGTGCGCAAAACACTCGCCCGCTATTCCAGGATTGCTGGAGACCCGCGGCATTTGAAAGCAAATACGCTCGCCAGCAGTCTTGGCTGATTCTTTCCTGGAGCATCCCCGAACACGACAAAAACACATATCTTGCAGCTGTATGTTCCACAAGAATCTCTGTCAGTTTTCAGCGACCCGTTGGCATAGCTCACTGCGACTGCAAAGTCTCTCTACGTAGCAAGTCTGGTTGACCGTCGATGCTGGTGATGCTGGAATATGTATGTAGCTGATGCTGGCCATAGAGCGAGTCTGCAATCTTTGTGCCGCTTCGAGCCTTGCCTTTTTGTAGGACGCAGAGCCTGTATGTGTTCCACAAAACACGGGCTCGCTGTTCCAGGATTTCAGAGTCACGCGGGTGGGGGGGGAGTCCTGAACAGGGGGCAACTTTTCTGGTGCGCCGCGAGCTCCCTTTCCATGGCGAGTGCAATGATTGCACCGTTAGCCCCCATGGTTACATGTTCGGAATATGATTGCCATAAGGTCAATGGTCTGGAACACAGAGAACAAAACAGACACAAATTCATTTTGGCCTTGGCGTCGAATTACTGCCTCAAGGACATACAGCACCGACATATTTCTATGTGGCGCGGCCACTAAGAAAAAGGATTTAGATAAATTCGAACATGATCAACTAGTCACTTTCGTTTGTGACTTGGACACGTTGGATTTGTCTCGCACCTGCATGAAATGCAGAGAACGAATTGCAACTATATTCTAATTCGCGCACGGAGAAAAAGTTGACACTAATCATGTCAAAATGGTTCTGCGTCTTGGAATAGTCTTGTAGACAATGAGGCCAAAAAGGAACTGATCTCTTGAGGATGTCGATTGGTTGGTAGTCGCGCCATTGGTGGTTGCGAATGTGGTAGTTGATCATTTCTTGAGGAAGCAGATCACATCTGGCGCCGCTGCTTGTTGTAGTGGCCCTTGCTGTAGCCACTCTGAGGCGAGAGTCTCAGATTCCAGCGCTTGTTGCAATTTGTCCATCCACCAGAATAGTCGCAGGTCTTGTTGTAGTCCTGCTCGCTGGAGTGCCACTGTCTGCCTCCGGTGTAGATTGACATGTTTCTGTTCCAGCTTGCTCTTAATGTAAACCATGCGGGGTGCGTGCCAGTCGCTGTCGTTCCCTGCGTTTATGAGCGCGCGACGCGCTTGAAACGTTCTGCAGAAGATGCCGGACAGTCGCCAATGACAAGAGTTGGGTTGCGTCTTCCGGTCTTCATCAATTTGTTCTTCTTCTTGCATCCGGAAGTCTTGCTGGTTCCAGGTGTCCTGCATCTGTTTGGCTGCTGCAAAGAGTCCATTTTGTGGGCTGTAGACCTGTTGGCACCTGCTGCGAATGTTCATCTCCAGTGACACTGCATTGATACTCGAGCACCAGTAAACGAATATAGTGTCTCAGCTCTAACTCCACTGCATTCATTTTCCCAGCTGGCTGTGGATTCCTCCAAGTGTTGCAAACGGTAGACCTGCTTGGTCAACATGTCGCACATCAAATTCATCCATGCTGATGTACCCGATGCCTTGAAAGCTTGCGTTGATGTTCAATTGTCTTGTCGCCCTTCGTGGAGTCGTCAAAGAAAACTGCGTCGGCCTCATTGATGCATAGGATGTGAGATGACTCGTCCGTGCAGCTTCAGTCCCTTTTTCAAACTCCAAGATTTCCAAACAGCGTAGATTATGATTCACATTTGGGTAACTGAACTGTGCTCAAGGACCTGATGGTGGATTGGAGTCAGCCCAGCATCTTGGCGTTTTGCTCTGATCCTCTTGGTGTTTGCCCAGTTCAATCTTGGCTGCATAGTTGGTCTTGAGGAGGACTGCGAAATGACAAATGACTTGTGTGTCGGAGTGCGTGCCACGATGAGACTGCTGGCTGGAGTGATCTTGCTGGTGATGTGATCTTGATGTCGAAGCGATTGTCAGGACACTGATCGCGTTCCTGCCGTCCGGAATGGACTGAAGAGCCCCCGAGACTGGTTGCCCAAGTGACGCGTGCCACGTCAACCTCCATGATGAAGCTGCTGGCTGGAGGTCGAATGATATCTGAGATGTAAGGTCCAGTTGGCCTTAGCTGATTCTCCTCTGGCAAAAGTTAACTTGGTTTCTGCCGAGGTGTACTAATAGGAGATGAGCAGTGTCAAGGATTGGAAAGGTCGGGTTGTCTCGCCAGATTTATGCCGTAACTGAGAGGTTTCCATCTTGGATCTTCTTGATGGCGTCATCGTTGTCCTGATGTTGGAAAGTATCTTGACTAGCCATCATTGGCTGGACACCTCGTGACTTGAGTACCAGCCACGACTTCTGATAGGTCCCAGCTCTCAGAGGCTAGCAGCCTGCTTGTTGGTGGACTTTCCTTTGTCCTTTCCACCTCCTTTCCCGTCATGGTACGATGGATAACCTTTGTTTTCATCGAAAATGTTCTGATTCTTGAATTATCCTTTCTTTCCTTTCTTTCCTTTGCCTTTTCCCCAACGTAGGGGTCCTGATGATGTGTCTGCGTTGCTCCTTTTGAAGGGTTTGAAGCCACTTCATCGTCGACTCCCCTTTTTGCCCATGGATGTTCCTTTTCTTCGTGTTGATCTGAAATCTACCTTTCTGAGTGCGAATGCATCATGACCCTCGAGGACCCAGACTGTCTCCTCATCTTCGGTTCCAACGAAACCTTCATTTCCACCTTCATCTTCAACCCAAAGTCCTTCTTCTCCTTCATGTGCGCCTTGCTCCAGAATGTAGAAGATGCTCTGACATGACCCTCCTGGTGGTCGAAGTGTCGGATCTTGACTCGAAGTTCTTGTGATATTGTGTCTTCAGCGTCTCATCTGTGTTCCCCAAAGACATTGCACTGATCAGTCTTTCTCTCTGCTGGTCTGAAAATGCATTTTGAATGATGAAGATTTGTGCAATGAGGTTATCGTTGTATGGACACGGGTGACGCTGTCTCTTTTGCATTCCATCGACTTTTGTTTATAACGTCTCCTGGTCGTCCGGGTTCAGAAGTTCAGGGTCCGGCCTGAGCCGGCTGCTAAGGCTGCGCAGCCGTCGCCTTGCGCCGGGGCTGGCCCACTCGTCTCTTGTTTTAGCGTGAAACGTCGCTTGTGTCTGTTTCCCAGCGCTGCTGCTCATTCTCTCGCCCGGGGACGCCGCAGTTGTAGCAGCGTGCCAGTGCTCAAAACGATACTCAAAACGATACCAAAACGAAGCCCCCGCAACTGTGGCTGTCGCCGTGCGCGGGGGGTGGCTAGTCTCTTTACGTAGCGTAGCTTGTCGCTTGTTGCCACGTTCCTCCTTCCTTTTCTTTCTCCAGTGTTCTGCTGCTCCGCTTCCTACGTTTGCTTGTCCTTCTCCTTCCTTTTGCTCGTTCTGCTCTTCGTCCCATCCTCGCTCCATTCTTTGTCTACTTCTTGCTTTGTCTTCTGTTATTTTGCACCTTGCACTGATTGGAGATAATCTGGTGACAGCGCCGGGATGACGGCCATCGTTTCAATCTTTGTAGCAAGAACTTGAACTTACTGACTCTGTGTTGCGCCTCCTGTGGTTGAAACTGAGGAGCCGATAGAGATACACGTCGGTCGCTCCCTTCAGGAAGAACCTCTGCAACGTGTCCTTGAAGTAGTTGACCATTTTCGGTTGGAGGCATGAGTCTGCTTTTGAGGCGAGATCCCCAACGCGCTGCTTCAACGGTTGTGAATGAGATCCAATCATCAACCATTTCCTCATATCTGAACCAGCTGGCTTTTCCGTCAGGCGATGGTGGCTGCTTGGCGAGGCCACTTCTTGTCCTAAAAGCCGCCTTATTTCACAGCGCGTTCTGGAAACAGGCGGAAAGCCCATTGACATACAGTGTTTTTAGAAGTAAAGTCAGCGGGGTGCCCCTTAAGAGTTTGCAATGGTGAACCGTTCCCGAACCACAGCTCTGCAATGGGACCATATTTCGACGCTGATGCATCCCAGCCGCGCAAGAAACCAGCTGGCCAGCCAGCGAACTCCTACCATGCGCTTCTCCAGGTTTACTTGAGGCTGCCACTTGCTGCTGGCGATCTGTTCCTCCCTTCACAAGCGTCGCCGCCACGCACCTAAGCAGCCAACAGCCCCCCACCACACCAAGCGCAGGAACTCGGCACCCTTGAGCGAGTGTGTCACACAGCCGAACGCCATGCCCTCCTCTTCATTTCCCTGTGTTTCGTTTCCCTGCATCTCCGTTTGCCCCCTTGCCAATCCCTTCTTTTCCTTCCATGTCCTCAAATAAAAGCTCTGACGGAAATTGATCCCGCCAGCGTCGTCAGGTTTGATGGCTTTCGGCTCAACTCTTTGAGGTCGTGGACTAACCACCTTTATGAAGCTTTCCACGCCGGTTGCGTTGCTGGCTCTGGTTGTGCCGGCAGCTATTGTTGAGTTTAAGCGCAGTTGCGGAGCCTGCCACGGCGTCGGTGCGGAGATGTTGTTTCATCGCCAGGCATTCCGGTGATTCTGAGTGACGGGTTTAAGGTGCCGTTTGCCACTGTCTTAGAGTCTGAAGTCAGCTTTGCAACACGCTTGAAATGTTGCTGAACTGAGGAAAGTTTTCTTGACTGGCCCAGTTTTTCCGTGAAATGGCCCATGACAGATGTCAGCCAGGGCGTCAGCAATGTGGTGAACGAATAGCCTTGCACGTGGGGCCTTGAGGCAAGAACTTGCACAAGTTCCTGCTGGACACTCCACTCTGGCTTTTGCGCAAAATGAAGGCAAGATGTTGAAGCCTTCGCGTGGCTACTTTATGTTTTTCCTGGCAGTAGGCAGCCGTGGACGCACACGCTTGCTGGTTTGACTGGCACCAGGTGCCGGGGCCCCAAAAAACGGCTTGCCTGTCGGTAAGCGCGTAGATGCTGCTAAGGTCTGAACCAGCTCAAGCGTGCCTTGGCAAAAAGAAGTGTGAGTCACAAGAGCCTTGCAAGATTTCTGGGGTGACTGCAGGTGCTCGCCTTATCTGGGCATCCTTCGTGAGTTGGAAAGGACAGAGCGCCGTTGATGTTTCGCTGCCCGCAGACCGCTGTTTCTATAAGCCGTGCAAAGGGTAAGAAAAGGTTAGGTAATGTAAGGGTTACATAACGGTTATGTAAGGGCTACTCACAGCGCGCGTGCCTGGCTGCTGCAGAGTTCAAGAGCCGCGGCGTGTTTCATCCGGCTGTGATCTGTTTTGGGAGTGAACTTGTGAACTGGTTTGGGGGTAGGAGAAGCTGCTGAAGCTGCTACTGCGTTTCGGGGGTAGGTTTATGGAAACTAATCGTACGCACAAGCGCACACACACACACTCACCTACGTACATACACAGGCACACCCACGCACACACACATGCCTACTTAATGCGTTCGCATCAAGGAGAAGTTCTAATGCGGGGCCAAGAAGAAAGAAACATCAGTTTAGTTTGAAATGGAGCGCAGAGACGGAAAAACAGTTGGTAACTTCACAAGTTAGCAAGCGAGCCAGTGTGTAAGTTAAAGTAAGTTGGTGCGGAGGAAGACTACTACTGCGATTGCTACTGCTACTACCACTACTACTACTGCCACTGCTGCTGCTGCAACTTCTGCTACTGCTACTGCTACTGCTACTCCCACTCCTACTACTACTACTACTACTACTACTACTACTACTACTACTACTATACTATTACTACTACTGCTACTACTACCGCCACTACTACTACTACTACTACTACTACTACTACTACTACTATTACTACTACTACTACCACTACAACAACTACTACTTGAGTTTTTTGCTGACCCGCGTTGATTTCCTTTGACCCCTCAGCCCCTGCTTAACAAAGCACAGACGCGGAACTACTTACACAGAAACCTGCTTACACGCACACCTGGGACAAACATACACACACACATATGTATGTATGTGTGTATGTCTGTGTGTATGCACGCATGCATGCATGCATGTATGTGTGTATGTATTTATCTATGTGGGCAGGTGCACGTGTGGCGTAAAAGAATGTGTGTCTGTGTGGTATGTTTGATGCACGTGCATACACATACATACATACATACATACATACATACATCCTTACACTTACATACATACATACATACATACGTACACACACACACATTCATACACACATACATAAATACATACACACACACATACATACATACACACATACATACACACATACATACATACAGACCACGCAGACCATGCAGACCATACATACTTGCGTACACACACACACATACATACACACACATACGCGCAAACTCACACACCTAGCACACGCACATAGACGCACATACATACACACATTCACACATTCAAGCATAGAAACCTACCTACCTACATACATACACACACACATACACACATACCTACGCACAGGCACAGACACACACACACACACACACACGCTTGCACACAAACACGCACGCAGAGACACGCATTCTTCCACACAAACACACACACACACGTACGTACCTCACCTGTCTATCTTTCTTTTCCCGAAAGCATCGCGAAGGGTTCTTCTGTGCGGAGCCCTTGGGCCAAGTTGCGCAGAGCCAAGTTGCACAGAGTCAAGTTGCACAAAGCCAAGTTGCACAGACCTAAGTTGCACAGAGGCAAGCTGGCCAGAGCCAAGTTGCACCGAGCCAAGTTGCGCAGAGCCAAGCTGCACAGAGCCAAGTTGCGCAAAGCCAGGTGCACAGAGCCAAGCGCGTAGAGCCAAGCGCACTATCTATCTATTTAGCTCGCAATGGGGCCTCCACTCCTTTTCGCGATTTCTATTCCCCGCCGCACGCGCATGCTTTCTTGCATGCGCTCACGCCGTTCTGCATCTCCTTCATGTCCGTAAAACGGAAGGTCCTTCTAAAAGCCCTTTCGTATCATGTGAATGTGTATGCGGGTAGGAAGGATAAATACGTGGATAGGTAAATAGGTAGACAGACCGATAAGTAGATCTCAGACAGAGGTAGGCAGCTTGACATGTAGAAATTGAGAAGATGAGATAGCTAGCCGGCGAGCTAGCGATGCTAGCTTGCTACATAGATTTAAAGATCGGTGGATAGATAGAAAGGGAGAGAGAGAGAGAGAGAGAGAGATGGGTAGCTAGATAGACACACACACGGGTAGATACTTAGATGGATAGACAAGCCGATCAGGAGGGAGAGAGAGAGAGAGAGAGAGAGAGAGAGAGATGTCAGAGCACGCGCGGTGTTGTACTACATAGCTTGTGCATGACCGCAGGCCTTGAGCTTTACTACATTGCGAGCCCATGAGAAACAGGAGTTGCGCAGACTACAGGTTTGTTTGTGTTAACACCATTACAACACTTGCACTTGTAGCGTGGTAGCGGAGCTGAGATCCTAAACATAGGCAGCTCCAGTATTCAGCAATAAGTGCAACAACTGCAACAGCAACCGCGTGCGACATGTCAGGAGAAGCAGCATCAGCTTCAGCGCAAAAACCAACAGGAACAGAGAACGGGCCAACAGCAGAAACAGTAGGAGCCACGACTATGGGGGCAGGAACAGAGCAAGACAACGACGTTCAGAGACTACACAAATACAATGTGCCACCACCTTTCTTCACAGTGTGAAGAATGGCTGTCCAAGCTACAAGCATATCTTGGATTCAGAGACCGAGACTTCGACCAGCGCTACAACTGGCACAAGTAGCTGCACGACGTGGAGGATGCCGACATCAGAGCGCACATTCGCGACCCTACACAAGCAAGCAAAGCAGCAGACCTCGCCAGAGACCTACACTACATCCTCATCAACATATGTCAGGGAGCAGCAGCTACAGTAGTAAGGCAACACCGCTACATCGCAACTGGATGTGAAACACTACAACTCCTGCGCAACAGGTTCAGCCTGCCAGTAGGAACACGAAGCGTTGGCTGCCTCACCAAACTACTGGAACGCACATTCAATAAGCGCAGTTTGAAGAGCAAGTCCTACAATGGGACTACGACATCAACCGCTACGAGAAAGACAACGGCGCAGCACTACCAGATGGAGTAAAGATTGCAATACTACTCAACAAAACCAAAGGAGCGCTGCAACAACATCTCCAACTGCGAGCTGGACAGATAACGAACTACAGCGAGATCAGAGCAGTCATCCTGGACTACTACAAGACGATCTCTCCTTTCTCAAGAGCGACTTCAGCTGTAGGCACAAACCACAATGTGCACCACTGGACGTTGACAACATTTGGAGGAAAGGAAGAAACTACAAAGGCAAAGGAAAAGGCAAAGGCCGCTACAAAGGAAGCAAAGGCAAAGGCAAACACAGGAGCAAAGGACACTACAAGGGACTTGACAAAGGCAACAAAGGAAGCTACAACAAAGGAGGACACAACAAGAGCAAAGGAAAAGGCTACGCAGGACCCAAAGACTATGGATCAAGCAAAGGCCACAAAGGCCAAGGAAACTACAGCAAAGGAAAAAGAAGCAACAACTAATGACGTGCCACCGATGTGGCAAGCCCGGCCATTGGGCTCAGGACTGCAGAGTGCCTGTGTGGCAAGAAGAACCACATCCACCACACCAAGAACAAGCAGATCAGGACAGCAATGATGAACTACCCCAGGGTCTGAACAACGCTTGGGACTGGTACTACGAAGGAGAAGAAGGACATGGACACGAGGTGAACTACATGGAGGAGTTGGAACGACTGCGACTCTGACAACAGCTGGGATTGGAATGACAACAGCTACGAAGACACAGCAAGCTACATTGGTGGCATCAACGTGTCACACCTCACCATCAAACAATCAAAGTCACTACCACACAAGCACACTACTTGGAAAGAAGGCATCACTCACAACATCATGGAACGACCACAGTGAAAGCTTTCAACAATTCCTCCAGGAGGACGCAACACAACTACACTTCGACATAGCAGCAGCGACGCAAAAGCAAATAAACAAGAAGATTGAGGACCCCTTCACACACTACATCATGTACTCCAACTTCAAGTCATACCACCACCTGCTGATCGACCCAGGAGCATCTACGCATGTTTGCCCAAAGGACTACGCACCAGATCGACCACTACAACCTTGCGGAGAACCAGTTCCACAACTACGGTTACCAACAAGAAGATCCCTGCCTACAGCATCAAGTATGTTCCCTACAAGCAGGACAACTTCAGGACCATGATACCCTACTACGGTTGCGATGTGAAGTATCCTATCCTCAGTGCATCAAGACTACGTGATAGAGGATATGGACTCGACATTTCAATCCACGACACTGCACCATCACACATGGACAACAACAAGCGCCAACGAGCAGCAAAGGTCGGCGCCCCTACAGGATTCGACATCTACCCAAAGACTACGCTATTGCTGTGATTCAACGCACAGAGGAAACAAAACAACAACAAGAACAAACTGCACCACTAACACACACGGACCAAGGATTGCGACAGATCCTTGGTGGGAACACTGACCACTGGAAACTTGATGGTGGCTACGCCATCAGAGTCCACAAACGACCACGCAAAGCACTTTTGAAACCACACAACAGCGGCTGCCCAGTACCAGAAGAAGAACTAGATGATTGGCGACTAACCATCATCAACAGACAAGGGCAGAACATTGGAAAAGACACCACATATCACTCAGAACTACACTGTTCTCTTCAACCGATGGACCAGGACATCTACCAATCAACACACTCGAACCTCACAGAGCTACAATCTTTCACAACGCAAAGATGACTGGACAGTCATGGGCAACGCACCACTACCATTTCAATGGAAAGGAACAACAAGGTTCACCATGAAAGAAAGACTACGAGTACATTGAGGAGAACCACGGCGAGGAGCAACAACACGAACACCATGAAGCACACAGAGCAAGAGGACTACGACAACCACAGCAACCAACTCCACAACAAATAGCAGAACACAACTTGACACACTTACCATACAGAAATTGGTGCCCACTTTGCGTGCAAGGCAAGGGACGCCAAGGCAACTACAAGAAACCGCAATCACGACAACCCGTCATTCAAGTAGACTTTGCCTACATCAAATCACAACAAGACCCAAAGACCATACCAGTCTTAACAGCAGTTGATGTTACTACACAACTGTGTATGGCGGTAATGGTTCCGGATAAACCACCAATGATGGGCTACATGGTCAACAGCCTACAAGCATTCATCTTTGAGCGCGGAAGAGCACAAGGCATATTACAAAGCGACAACGAGGAGACACTCAACGCACTTCTAAAAAGCCACAGCAGCCAAAGTTGGCTCAATGACTCTTCGACATGCACCCTCCTACAGCAGCAACAGTCAAGGAAGCGTTGAACGACTACATCGAACACTCCTCGGACAAAAACGTGTTGTCAAAGCACAAGTTGAAAGCAACTTCAGCACGACAATGTCCACAAAGCACTGTCTACTACCTTGGATAGCACGACACGCAGCATGGACGGTAAGTCGCTACGTCATCCACTCCGACGGCTACACAAGCTTCGAACGCCACTGGGGAAGAAACTACGAGCGAGCGATTTGCGAACTTGGCGAAACACTACTTTGCCTTGCGCCGCAACACAATAGACTTCCGAAAGCAGACCTACAAATGCAGAAATGCATTTGGCTCGGAAAAGTTTCCGAAACCGGAGAAAACTACGTCGCAACAGAAACAGGCGTACAAAAAGTACGAACAGCACAACCCGACGTCAAGTACGACCTCGCATGACTAAACAAAGCTTCCGGCACACCTCGGGCGCATTGGGCGCCACGACGGAACACGTACAACCCGTCATTCGCAACACTGTTGGACACGCAACTCCAATCGTCAGCCGACAAACGCTACGACGCATGCATGACTCTGGAAGAAGTAATGCAACCGACCAAAGCGCAAAAGACCTCAAAGGGACACAATCAGATCAACGGAAGAAGCAACCAAAGAACCGCAACCACTACGACAAAGAATATTACGACGAAGCACAACCACTGGAAGGAATGAAACACTAATCAAACCAAATGAAACTACATGACGTCTACGGCGAAGTAGATGCGTCTACAGTCGACAACAACGTCATCAAAGATTCAATTCCTACAAGATGGGCCCACAGAAAGAAAGCGTACGAGGTAGGATCGTCGCAACAGGCTACACCGGGCAGATCGAGGACGAAGACTCCGTCTACGCCTCTACACCATGTTACGACGCTACGGACACTTCTCGCACTACAAATGTCACGGCCAAACTGGATCGCGCGACTAGGCGACGTCTCTACGGCATTTCTACACGCACCCATCGCAAAAGACCACGGCGACAAACATCGCTACGTCTACCTTTGGCCGCCTAAAGAACTTTGCCCGCTACAGAACAAACTATGACGGCTAAAGAAAGCCATGTATGGACTACGCATCTAAAGCATCGCAGGACTACCTGGCTCAAGTACTACAAAAGCTCAGCTTTGTGACTTTAGACTAAAGTCAGAGCCCAACGTCTACACCAATGCAACTCGCGACTGCTACATCACGGTCTACGTGGACGACCTGTTGGCGCGCGCACTGTCAACTCCATCTTCGAGGCCATCTAGAAGCAGGTACTGCTCAAGCACATTCAGGACTCCTACGTCGGCAACATGGTCGAGGAGACTGGAATGACCAACTGCAACACGCTGACCGCTCCAGGATTCGCCCACTACAAACCAACAATAGAGGATGAAGCGCTACTCGACCACGAACAACACAAAAGGTACAGAAGAATTGTTGGTAAACTTCAACGGGTAGCATACACAAGACCAGACATTGCCTACGCAACAAAAGAACTAGCACGAGACCTCACAGCGCCTACAGAACTTTCACAAAAGAGAGTCAAGCACCTACTACGCTACTTGCACGGCGCCAAACACTGCGAATTTACCACTGAACCAACAACGACCCTAAGAGCAAACACCAACAACATCCTGGATCTCGACGTTCATGTCGATGCTGCCTGAGCCAAATGCCCTACTACCAGGAAATCAACTTCAGGTTTCAACATCATCTTTCTTGAAACAACAGTTGCATTTGGCAGCAAAACATAAGCTACAATACACTCAGTTCAGCAGAATCAGAGCTCTACGCAATTTGCACAGGACTTAACCTACGCATTCACACAGACTCCACAGCAGGCAAGAGCATTGCTACACGACAAGGCACAAGCAAACGAGCAAAAGACATCGACCTCAAAGTCCGCTACACACAAGACCTCATCAAACACGACATCATTAGAACCCTCAAGATCAACACACTGCACAACAGCGCAGACTTGTTTACCAAATACATCAGCAAGGAAACACTACACAGGTTTAGCACTACGAACGACCAGCGCAACTGTTTCGCAGCAACAGCAACAGCAACAACAGCAACAACAACAACAACAACAACAACAACAACAGCAACAGCCACAGCGACAGCGACAGCAACAGCAACAGCAACAACAACAACAACAACAACAAGAAACAACAACCACTTCAAACATTTTGTATGTAGCAGCTACATGTAACATGACACTTCTGGTATCTAAGTAACAGTAACTACATGTAATGTCACTTGCACTTTTGGCGGCATGTTGGCGGCTTCAGCCAACATTACATGTCTGTTTGTTTTACATGTCTGCCCGCTTCCTGTGAGCAACTACAGGCTCGCTTTAGGTGCCTCATTTCATTGCAGCTTTAGGACTACAGCCATTCGCTGAGGACGAGGTTGACATGGCGTCAGCTGAACTACTACCAGTTCACAACTTCACCCAACTACACGCGCGCCACGACATCCAACTACAGACCACACCACTGCCATTCAGCGCACACCTACAGGATGTCTACAACTCCAACGAATTCAACCTACACATCGACCATCCGACTCCCGCGCTGCCCACAACACCACAACACACCAAATTCTACATCCCCCTGACGATTGAAACTACTGCTTTCTCACTGCAGGACAGGATGATGACACTACAGTCAGTCTTTTCTACACCACGGCCACTTCAGAACCAGCAACACGCTTTTTGCCACTACACTCACTACCGGGCAAGCTACATCAGCCGGCGCACGACCGACTACAACTACTGCGTTTGGCAGCTGATGCCCATTTGTGGCATTACTACAGCTTGACCGAACTCCGCACATCCACCAACCATGTCAATGACTACATTCTTGTCACCATTTCACTTCCCACAGACTACGTCCAACAACTACTCCAAGACAACAACTTGGACTTCTTCGTGCGTGGTAGCTCCACTTCACTCCCAAGCCACTACACACTTCGCTTGCCCCACTACCAGCGAGCCGCCTTGATCAACTTCAACTTCAACAACTTCACCCTTCACTACACCCAGTCCAACGGCCACATTTGGGTTTGCCACCTACTCCTCAAAACAACTACTCCACCTTTACAGCCTACACCCCAACGACACCACAGCACGACGACCTGAACTAGATGCGGGAGCCTGCCACGACCGGTCTCAAAGACACTACTGGCGCAACAACCCCTAGGCCTACATGAGGCGCTACAAACAACAGGCACCTCCTCACGAACTCCGTTCAGTCGGACTACATCAGGGACTGAACCCTGAACAGCGCGAGCTGCTGAAGACTAACACCTGTTTTCCCTTTTCACTACGGTAGCATGGGTATATGCGTTCCAGTTGAAAGATACTACATGACCTTTTAACTGAGGGGCGCTGTCAGAGCACATGCAGTGTTGTACTACATAGCTTGTACATGACCGCAGGCCTTGAGCTTTACTACATTGCGAGCCCATGGGAAACAGGAGTTGCGCAGACTACAGGTTGGTTTGTGTTAACACCATTACAACACTTGCGCTTGTAGTAAACAGCAGTCTGAATTTAGCGAGAGCGAGAGACAGACAGAAAGAGAGACAGATTGGTAGATGGATATTATGCATGACATCGATAGACAGAGAGAAAGGATAGACAGGTTAGACCGACGCAGAGATACAGAGATAGATAGCGAGAAAACCAAAAGTTACAGAAATTCAGAGTTAGGAAGATAGAGAGACGTATAGACAGGTTGACAGATAGATGGATGGATAAATAGATAGAGAGCACAAGAGCGAGATGTCAAGATCGATAGCTGGCTAGGTAGACTGCTTGATAGATGGATAGATGGAAGGCGAATGGAAAAAGAGGAGCGTGGGTAAGATAAATAGACGGTCCCCACGCAGAGAAAGAGCGAAGCAGTAGCAAAAGAAGAGACAGAGCAGGAGAAAGAGAAAGGGAAAGAGAAAGACGAGAAGAACGAGAAGAGAAAGGAACAAAAGGACAAAGAGAAAGACAAGTATTGTTTTTATGTTCTTGGAACTTCCGTGCCGGCTCTACTTGTTTATGAGACATCTCAGCTGCTTGTACAGTTTGAGCTAAAGATAGCAGTCCTTGTGTATTTCTACCGACCCGAGTGAGTTACCCATGTGTTTGCCTTCTTCTGCAGCCATTCAACCTCTGGCTTGTTTTTTTCTGGGCAGGAAGAAGCCTGCGATGCCCCGGACGTAGCAGCCTCAGCGCCACCAGCTGCACACGTCTCACACATGACCCTGATGCAAGGTCGGGGCCATTCTGGCAACATGAGGAAAAGCTGTAGCTTGGCTCAGCGGGCGCCCACGCACATGTTTCCACAAGTCACCGGTCACAGCAGTCGGGCGTGGTTTGTGTTCTGTTCTGTCTGGTTGCGGCTGTCACGGGCCAACGTCGCGGCAATGGTGGCGCTGCGCGCGTGACGCGCGCATGGCGAGACTGAGTGCTGGTGTTGTAAAAGGGTCCGCAACGCCTTTGGCGGGTCTGACGTCTTTTCGGTCTCCAGCTTTTGAGCGGGTGTTGTCCGTGTAGTTTTCTTCACACGTTAGCTGCTTTTTGCTCAGGGAAGCAGCTTCGTGACTGCGTAGGTCCGTAAGCGTTTCGCAGGCTTGCGCGTCAAAGCCTCGCAGGCGACCGTTTAGGTTGTTGACTTTGCAGCCGCAAAACAATTTTGGGTGGCCCCTCAAGAAGACAATCATTGTCTTGTTACAAACTGTTTGGGGTCTACGCTGCTATCATTTTCAAGTGCAGTAGGACAATCAGGGCAAGTGTCCCCCAGACGTGCCCAGTCGGAATCGTTGAACACACAGCACGGTGACTTGCCAGCGCGCCGCAGCATCGTAAACCCTAAACTGGAGGTCGACCCCCCTTCCAGCTTAGGGGGGGAACCCCTGGTTTCCTTGATAAAGTTGCTGTTGGGGCTAGCGTTGATATACTGGCCATTGGGGCACCGACTTTGATAAAATGGCCATCGGGGCCGGCCTCGAACAAAACCGTGGCCGGCCGGTCGTTGATAAACTGCTTGTGCGGCGCATTGGCGGATTTTGCCTCCGAGGGCCAGATCTGGGTCCGCCCTTCCGGTTGGAGCTGGCCTTGATAAACTGGCCATCGGGGCCGGCTTTAATCCATTGATAAACTGCTTATGCGGCGCAATAGCGGATCGGGCCTCTGAGGGCTAGATGTAAGGGTTGCGCCCTTCCTGCCGCGACCAGCTGGCCTTGACAAAGTGGCTTTTGGGGCCCGCAAAAAGGCTTTCTTGAAGTTTCTTTTGAAGCAGCGTGTTTCCTGCGAAGGAACCTCCTGCCAGTAGTCAGCAATTTTTGGCGCAAAAAAGCTTCCAAGCATTTTTGGCGCAAAAAGGCTTGCTTGCTTGAAGTTTCTTTTGAAACAGCGTGTTTCCTGCATGCGAAGGAACCTCCTGCCAGTACCGCCTTGCTTCCGGCGGCTGCTCCGGCCTGGGGCCGCGCCCGGGCGCTCGGGCGACAGGGGTCGGCAAATCGGGGCGACAATGAACAAAAGCCTGAAGGGTTAACCCTAAGCCCGACAAAGGTTGTGATTTGGGTGGGCGGGTTGGTTTCCTTGCTCGCGGCGCCCCAGACGTGTCTCACGGGGGCGCCGCTCCCAAGCACACCCTAAACCTTAAACCTCTATTCTCTACTCTAGCATACATACATATATATATATATATATATATTTATTTATTTAAATGTTTGCCATACAACGGGTGCGCCAGGGGGCTTTCTTAAGACTTTCTTTTCAGTTCTGCGCGTGTCCCGCAAGCTTCTAAATCGGCTTCATTGTTCAAATCCAAGTTCGGGGCCAAAATCGCAATTTTTGCCACGCGCTAAACTTGCGCGCTCTAGGTGCGGCGCCGCCGCAGCTTCGGTGGCCTAGTGGTCGCGCGTCCGTCTCCTCCCTGGCGCGCGCTTTGCGCTGAGTCGGAGTGGAGTGCGCTCTGAAAGTGTTTCCCGCAAGTTAATCGCTAAGCTTGTGCGCTTTCTGGCTCATGGCCTCTTGCCCGCGCGTGGGCCGCGGGCGCGGCGGCGCCCCGCCGCAGCTTCTGTGGCCCAGTGGTCGCACGTCGGTGGTCCTCCCGCGCTTGCTTGTTTTTTTTGTGGCCCCGTCGTTGTTTCGGGCTGCCGGGCAATGTTTTTCGTGGCCGTGCCGCGATTTTCCACTTCCGGCAATCAAAGAAGCGCGGCAGCCGTTCATTATCACTACGCTTGATCGGCTCTGCGGCCGAAACGCTCTTGGCTTTGCACGGCGCCGAACTTCCAAGCTGGTGGGGCGTGCTGCAACTCAGCTAAACGCCACCTCGACATCATCGCCGAGCCGTTGGGGCTGCTTCATGAAGCGCTTCTCAGCGGACGTAGTGTCCTGGCCCCTTGCACACACAAACTCGCAGCTACTCTCTGCCCTTGCAACATATTGCTTGCCGCCTGCCAGTTCGTCTTGTTCGCTGCTCGCCAACTGCGCGCCCTCTTGCCGCTTTGCTTTCGCTGCGTTCGATTTGTCGATTTGCGCTGGTGTGGAAGCTGGCCCTTGGTAGCGGGCCTGGGTTGGGTGGGATTGAGATCGTGAGCCGAAGGGACGCGCGTGCTCTTTAACGGGGCGCCTATTCACGGCGCCCCTCGTCACTGCGCGCGCATCCATAGGCCGTGGACTTGCCCACCCCAAGGCCGCCCTATCACTACTCGCCAAGCTGGCTTTAAAAAAGACGAGCGAGCACGCGCGGAGGCAAGTTCTTTGGCGCGGCCGTCTTCTAGATTCTGCAATTTCCCTGGATCTCAGGGGCTCCGAACAAGCCCGGAAAGCTGAGACAAGAGCCGGCGGACCCCTCCAAACAGGCGACACGGAGCCGCGGAAGTTTTCCTCGAGGCTCTTTCGGCTTTAGGTTTGGCGCGCGGGGCACGCGCTGCGAGCGCTCAAACACATCGCAGTTGAGCGCGGGACGACGCAGAGCCGCCGCGGAAGTTCCGCACGAACGCCGGGCCGGCCCGCGGCTCCTTCAGCTTTGTTCGGGTTTTGCGCGCGAGGCGCCGAGACAAAAGCCGGCACGCCCCCTCAAGCGCCGGACAACCTCGCAGCTTCTTCGGCTCCAGGTTTTGCGCGCGGGACGCGGCAGGCTCGCGGCCTCTTCGACTTCGAGTTTCGGGCGCGCTTTTAGGCTTGGCGCCCGGGAGGCCCCATGACTTTCTGGCCAGATCGCTTGCGCACGAATGCCGGGGAACAGGCCGATACCATAAAGTATGGCCTGAACCCCCCAGGGACAGACCCCAGCAAGGGCCAACGACTATGTGGGAAAAAACCGCGCCAAGCGCCTGTCGCATTGAAGCACGCCTTCGCATCAACGAAGGCAGAAGCCGTTAACATCAACTAGAGGACGATTGGCCCGAAAGCATTTTTCCACAGGCGCTCATGCAGCCGCGGAGACACCTTTTTACATCGCTGCGGCGAGCGTGTCTGCGCGAGGCGATGCTCAGTGTGTATGGTCACATGAGAGCTCCATCTCATCATCCTACTTTCCTCTCGAACTGCGCCGCGCGATTTCTCACGAAAGTGGTCTGCGCAAGCTGCATTGTTCCAGGCTGCTGCGCGCAAGTTGCTCTCTGCAAGCTGCTGCACGCAAGTGCTCTGTGCAAGTTGCTCTGCGCAAGTGCTCTGAGCAAGTTGCTCTGCGCAAGTGCTCTGCGCCAGTTGCTCCGTGCAAGCGCTTTGCGCATGTGCTCTGTGCAAGTTGGTCTGTGCAAGTTGCTCTGCGCAAGTGCTTTGTGCAATTGCTCTGTGCAAGTTGCTCTGCGCAAGTTGCTCTGCGCAAGTGACTCTGCGCAAGTTGCTCTGCAAGTGCTGCCGGAGCTGTGGGAATGTACTTCGCATACTATTTTTTGTACTTAAAAGTTGCGATTTTCCAGCCGGAGCTGCGGGGGTGTGCTCCGCGTACTACGTTTGTACTTAAAAGTTGCGCGGGAGCACGCTCCGCATACTACGTCTGTACTTAAAAGTTGCGATTTTCCAGCCGGAGCTGCAGGAGTACGGTCCGCGTACTACGTTGCGATTTTCAAGCCGGAGCTGCGGGGGTGTGCTCCGCGTACTACGTTTGTACTTAAAAGTTGCGATTTTCCAGCCTGAGCTGCGGGAGCACGCTCCGCATACTACGTCTGTACTTAAAAGTTACGATTTTCCAGCCGGAGCTGCAGGAGCACGCTCCGCGTACTACGTTTGTACTTAAAAGCTGCGATTTTCAAGCCGGAGCTGCCGCGGACCAGGGGGGAATCGAACCCGCGACCGCGGGATTGCGAAAGCAGGCGCGCAAACCACGAGACAACTTCCAAAGGCCGTTTCGCGAGCAAGAATATTGCACGTCGCCACAGCGAGAGCGCTTCGACACGCACAATCTCCGCAGAGGGTTCGCCGAGACTAAGACAAATTCGCACGGCGCCACAGCGAGAGCGCTTCGACGCGCACGATCTCCGCAGAGGGTCGCGCGGACCGCAGAAATCGTAAAAAGTCCTCAGTTTTTGAACCTCGACCACGCGAATCTCCGCAGAGGGTTGCGCGCGGCCCGCAGAAATCGTAAAAAGTCCCCAGTTTTTGAACCTCGACCACGCGAATCTCCGCAGAGGGTCGCGCGCGGAGCGGAGAAATCGTAAAAAGTCCACAGTTTTTTAACCTCGACCACGCGAATCTCCGCAGAGGGTTGCGTGCGCAACGCAGAAATCGTAAAAAGTCCTCAGTTTTTTGACCTCGACCACGCGAATCCCCGCAGAGGGTCGCAATCCCGAGCGAAAAATCAAACTCCCGCCCCGGCGCCTTTGAAACTTTAACTTTCTTACATAGCTGCTAACGCCGAAGCTCTACGCAAGCTCTACCTAACCTTGGCTCTGTGCCACCTGGCTCTGTGTCACTTGGCTCTATGCCACTTGGCTCTATGTAACTTGGCTCTATGTAACTTGGCTCTATGTAACTTGGCTCTATGTAACTTGGCTCTATGTAACTTGGCTCTATGTAACTTGGCTCTATGTAACTTGGCTCTATGTAACTTGGCTCTATGTAACTTGGCTCTATGTAACTTGGCTCTATGTAACTTGGCTCTATATAACTTGGCTCTATGTAACTTGGCTCTATGTAACTTGGCTCTATGTAACTTGGCTCTATGTAACTTGGCTCTATGTAACTTGGCTCTATGTAACTTGGCTCTATGTAACTTGGCTCTATGTAACTTGGCTCTATGTAACTTGGCTCTATGTAACTTGGCTCTATGTAACTTGGCTCTATGTAACCTCTAAACTTGGCTCTATGTAACTTGGCTCTATGTAACTTGGCTCTAATGTAACTTGGCTCTATGTAACTTGGCTCTATGTAACTTGGCTCTATGTAACTTGGCTCTATGTAACTTGGCTCTATGTAACTTGGCTCTATGTAACTTGGCTCTATGTAACTTGGCTCTATGTAACTT